TCATCAGACAAAACCAGATGGAAAAATAGTCCACAAATCCATACAAAGGCAATGGTTAGCCCAGAATCCCAACAGTAAAGCTGCTTACCAGGCTGGATCCCCTCCCTGGAAAATGAATCTTCTGGATGATCCCACCAATTTTATTTCACAAAGTTATTTCACAAATATTTATTTAGCTCTGTTCTAAACCAGGCACTGTGGGGATTGCAGAAGCTCATGCACAGACAGAAAAATCTGAACTCACAAACGTTACAGCTTTAAGGAGGATGGAGAGTGACAGGTAATAGACTTTTTAAAAAAAGTAAAAATATATGATTTGTCGCATATTGTAAAGAACTGTAGAAAAAGTACATGAAAAGGGGAAAGTGGAATGCCCTGTGTAGGGCCACAGCGTTAAATACTGTGACTTGAGAAAGCCTCAAGGAGAAGGTAACATTTGAGCATAACCAGGGGAGAGCAGGAAGCAAGCCACACGGTATGCAGGAAAAGTGCCGCCAGCAAAGGGACTTCGACAAGCAAGGGCTCAGGTGTACAACGGGTGACACGGTGCCCAGGGCCTGCATGAGAGCAGGGAGGTTACAGGTCCAGGCAAAGGAAGGAAAAAGGACACACTGCTCTGATCCAAGCAGGTTTTTGTGATGGTTAATCTTGCCAACTTGATTGGCTTTCAGACACCTCATGGATTAGGAATGTACACTTCTAGGTGATCTATGTGGGTCACAGAGGTGTGGTGACCTCAGGGACTATATCTGATCCCAGGCCCCATCCTCTTCAGCACCCTTCCCCTGTTCTCTGCTCCTAGATGCCATGAGGTGAGAAACTTTCCTCTGCCGTGCTCTTCTACCATGATGCTTTGGTTTAGAACCAGCCAACCATGAACCTCTGAGTCCATGAGCCAGCATAAACCTTTCTTCCTATGTGTTGCCAGCTTCAAGTGTTTTGTGTTAGCAATGGGAAAGCCGAGCAATACATTTCTCAACTGTATTTTCAGCTCTCCCAGATAGTGTAACATGGTGAAAGCCACAGAAACCCTTCTTACTCTCAAAGATTGTACCCACATAGGATTGTTAGCTTTAAGACCTACCTGTATTATTAAGGCTGTCTAACCATGATGCACAAAAGTTACTGCAGATAACTTCAAAAGAGTAAAATTCTAGAGACAATTCAGTTAATAGTCACAACTTAATAGTCACAGCTCTCAAGTTTGTCAATTATGTGTGAGCTGATTTGCAATAAAGAAACCTGAGTAACAGCTGAACAACTCCAATTTGTAACAGAGAAGATGGCAGACAGCATGTGAGATGGCTGGAAAGCTACAGTCAGTCCCCTGCATCGATGGGTTTAGCATGTATAAATTCAACCAATTATGAATCAGAAATTCAAAAGCAGTTACATCTGCACTGCACATGTACAGATTTTTCCTGCTCATTATTCCCTACACAGTACAAGAACTATTTGCATAGAATTTTCATCATATTAGGTGTTATTATGAGTAATCCAGAGGTGATTTAAAATACACAGGAGAATGTGCACAGTTTGTACACAAACATCATACCATTTTATGTAAGAGATTTGAGTATCCATAGAGGTCCTGGAACAAAGTTCTTCAGGATATCAAGGAATGAGTAAAATGGCAAAAAGAAGAATGATACGTATTTATTGGTTATCATCCCATATCTATTACTTCCCTTCTTTGGTCTTCCTAACAGCTAGCAGTTCCTACTTTCAAAATAAATGGATTCCCAAGTGAATGGATTCTATTCCTGCCTCTTGAGATTATATGTATGACCAAAGCCAAGACAACCAAAGCATTCCATGCCCCCCAGATACAGAGATTTATTCTAGGAGAGCTTGTGGATCTGATCAGTAGAAAAGAATACCAGGACTCTGGTGGAAATGCTGGGACCATGATAGTCTCACTCTTGGATTGGTATAGTGTGTCTGTAGTGTAGTATGACTGCAACATCTGATTTTGTTCTGGGAGGATGGAAGGGGAGACAGCCTGAAGGGAGCTAGAACTATGACAGGATGAATGTCTGCACCCCAGACTTCACAGTCATAGAGTCTAACAATACCCTTTGCAGTGCTGGAATGATTGACATCTTGAGGTGAATAATGCTTTGTTTTGTGTGTGTGTGTGTGTGTGTCTGTGTGTCTGTGTGTTAGGGGTAGGGGTGTGCTTTGCAGGAAGGTTAGCACCCTTTCCCGGTGATGACTACCAAAATTGTCAATCTAAATTGTGTTTTTATCTGTTTTCCTTCTTATTTTGAAAATAGCATGGCATCATCTTGGACACCAGAGGAATGTGATTCACCCACTTTCTCTCCAACTAGCAAAGTATGAAGTCTCCGGGGATAAAAAGATACTAAAATGCTCATCTAGTGATAGATCCCAGACTGGCTGTAAGGTGTGGTTGACATCCAGCCTCTCTCCTTGCTGCCAAACTGGTGGCAACTGAGGGTCTATTCATCACACCTTGGATCCTACTACAGGGAGCACAGACAGGTGGAAAAGGGTAAAACCCAAGCTAAAACCAAGAAGCAATGCTTACAGTATGGAGAGAGAAGCAGATGACTGTTAGGGTGCAAAGGGCTTGGCTGCAGTGTGAAATCAGCCCACAGACCAGCCCAAGATCCTCATAGGGTTGTTTTTAACCCAACAAGAATCAGCTGATTGGCTACGTGTGGCCTCATCGACATCCCTCCGGATTCAGAAATTTTGTTCTACTCAAAGACCCTTAATCTTTTTCATGCTACAGATCCCTTTGGAAGTCTGGCAAAGACTTTATACTTCCTGTTAGAATAATGTTTTTAAATGTATAAAACAAAAATACAAAGAGCTAAAACAGAAAGCAGTTTCACTAGAATAAAGCTATCAAAGTACTTAAAAACAAATGTGTGTTTTCATAATGTCTTCTTGTTGTGTTAAATGACAAGACTAGTAGCACTTCCCAAAACTGTAATAACTCTGAAATACTGATGCATGTAAGTTCAGTCTTGGGGAGGCTGAAACAAGTCCCAAACAATATGAAAATAAGCATTTTTCATTTTTTGATAGCATCATAGAAAGTACTTGTATAAAGTTCTAGGGCTTAATTGTTTCCAGAATTTTTGCCCCTTCATTTAAAATTGCAAGAAATACAAAAGTTTAGTTGGAAGTTAATAAAATTAAAGCTATCACTTTTTTCCTATCCACATTCACAGACCTTCATAAACCCAGGTCAAAAACTCTTTGTAACTAAGTGCCTCTCTACCAGGAGCGATTCCTATATTTAAAGACCCAATCCAAAAATGGGCATCTGAAATGAACAGACATTTCTCAGGCAAAAAAATGTAGAAATAGCAAATAAACATATGAAAAAAATCACTGGTCATTCAAGAGATGCAAATGAAAACAATGCTGAGATTCTACCTCACTCCAGAAAGAATGGCTGCTATCAAGAAATCAACCAATAACAAATTCTGGCAGGACCATGGGGAGAAAGGAATCCTTCTCCATTGTTGATGGGAGTGTAGACTGGTGTAACAACTGTGAAAATCAGTGCAGAGATACCTCAAAAAAATAGGATTAGAGGTCCCATTTGACCCTGCTATTCTCCTGCGGGGTATCTTCCCAAAAGAATTAAAAGAACCATACCACAGTGATATATGTGCACCAACGTTCATAGCAGCACATTTTGTAATAGCTAAAACTTGGAAACAGCCCAACTGCCCATCAACTGGAAATTGGATAAAGAAAATGTGTTTTTATTTATAAAATGAAGTTACACCATTTCTTAATTTGCTGTCTCAAACTTTCCTTAAAATGAAAGGCATTGTGCTTGTCTCCTACCACTAATCCATGCTTTTAGAAGTTCCAGCTGCATTATATGACTTCTAAGAATGATTTACCAATGTGTGTCACTCTTTGTTCTACACCCTGAACCTCTAGTGATAGTAGATGCCCTATACCAGTGGTGGCGAACCTATGGCATGTCTGCATCATTGAAAGCTCTAAAAGGTTTGCCATCACTTCCCTATATTCATTCCTAGCTTTTCAGCATTTGCTTTTGGGGATTTTGCTTGTTTAATCTGTGTTTTTAAAGGAGCAAGGAGTTCCAAGTTTAGTAAAATCTGGAAAGCCACCTTACTGCATATATTGTTAGTATATTGTTTCATTTTTCACAATATTAACCTCCCTTCCCTCATCTCTTGCTCTTTACTAGTCCCATTTGAGCCAGACTTCATGCGCCTTGTTTATTTTTGTAAAACATAATTTTTTACTGGTATATGTTTGCAACATACGATAATTACATTACTCTTCGGAAACAGGCACATGTACATATTGCACCTTAATCAATTTTATCTCCCCTTTGCTTCCTGGCCCTCCCCTCTCCACCCATCTCCAATCGTCTTTCCATCCCATTCCTGTCTCCTATCATATTTAGAGCCCTCTGTCCTTTCTTACCATGGCCAGAGTCCAGGCAAAGGAGTGTGAAAGTCTAGAAATAGCTCAATATTTTATGCAGATATTTCTACAAAATATATTAAAAGACTATTCTTGTACCTGATGCTCACAAGAAATAATGTACATTTACTGAGCAGGCTTAATACCCAAAGATATCATTCTTGCAATATCAGAGGAGGAAATATGACTTAACAGTCAACAGCAATTTGAATTCCAATGAGTATGGTAAAGCATGTTTTCCCAGAATCATCATGTGGGGTAGGACAATACTGAAATACTAGGATCCTATTATTTGACCTCATTGTACTCACTTTCTTTGATACCTTATTTCTTCCAGGACCTATAAGGAACTTAGAATGAGAAAGATCAATTTCCAATCATTCTTACAAACAGTGCATAAAAATAAGACTTAACCATGATTTCTCATCGCTTCATCTTGAATTCAAAATCCTGGACTCATCTGAGGTAGTCTGAATACATGGAAAAACAGTTTATTAAATAGTCTATGTGAAGGTTTACAAAAGACATTCCCAGAATGCTCAAATTCATGTGGTTTCTAAAAGTGAGTTTTCCATAAAGCTCTGCACAGCCCAGAAACATGAAATTCTGCCAGGGAAGCTCCTGTACTCCGTGAGCTGGGTGAATCTCCTTTGTCTCCTGTGCATGCTCCAGTCTTCACAAAAGAACTTCCCTTACCAGCTTTTCCTGTGCCCTCCAGGGCTCTCAGGGCTGGTAGCACACTGGCACTTCCCATGAAGGCTACCTTGCACCCCCTTTCCCCTCTTCACAGATGGGACTTGAAAGATAATACAGAAAGATATAAGTTTAGAAGTTCCTCTCTTATGTGCAGAAAAACTATTGCCAGAATATTTTCAAATTTAAACAGTTTGAAAAACCTGTGATCTTTGCACCGTTTCCAAGAGTAGCCACTCTAAAGGAAGATATTTCCCATCAGTGGCCCTACCCAGGGTTTCGGCCCATGACAGTTCTGCAAGCTGATCCTCTGGCTGGCATCCCACTCCAGGTTACCAAGTTTCTGCAATCTCTGTGAGAACCCGGAGCAGCTCGTTGAATGTCGGGCGGCCTTGAGGGCTCTAGAAAAGGGAAATGCAAGTGGTCAGCTCCACCTCCAGCTCCCTCAGATGTCAGCTGTGGAGCTGGCTGAACTGGCAGGGACCACAAAGGAAGAGAAAGACATCTGGACTGACAAACAGTAATTGAGACATGAGTGTGAAAATGTAATAGTAAAGAGCACTGCAAAAATAAAATGTCTAGAACTGTGGACACTGGCCACGTGTGGCTATTGAAATTTAAATGTATTAAAACAATGTTTCAACCTAGTTCTTTAGTCATGTTAGCCACTTTAGATGTTCTCAAAAGCTAGAAGAGCTACTGTATTGAACAGCACAGATTAGAAATAGTTCCATTACTGCAGAAAATTCTATCTTCCCAGAGATCTACTTGAGCAATTTGACATGTGACATCATGTTCCCTCCTCTCTATGTCCTTGTGGAGCATCAATAAAAAGGACAGAGCAGAAAACAATATAAGGCCCTATGAGGGTCCTCCTAAAGACTCCAAGACTGAGTTGTAGAGCTTTTTAAGGAGGCTGAAGCTCTTCAGGTGGAATTGATGAGATGTGCCTATCAGTGGGAACATAGCCACACTTATTTGAGTCTAGAGACCCCTAAGCACTTGGCAAAAAGTCACAGGCAAATCAACTTTTGCAAACAAAGAAATCAACATAACCACAACATTGGTTTAATCAACTTTCCAAGCGCAATTTGAAACTAAGATCGTTCCCTTGGTTCTGTGAAAGTCCTATTTATGCCTTCTTCTCTGTTTCATATCCACAGATATCTAAAAGCTTAGTATCAGTGAGTACGTGCGTGTACATTGTTTCATAAACAATAATACAGAGTTAGTCCTCTATGGAAGCCTCTCAACTTTTACAAAAGGGAAGGGGACCAAGAGATGGAGAGGAAGGGAATGAAAAAAGAATGAAGATGTGCGACGTACATGTACCAACTCCCACAATGAATATAATCACGATGCCGTGCAAATGTGGACTACGAAAAACAAAGATCAACTTTCCTCCAAAAATGTATTAATACACCTAATCTACTAACCAGCCCAGCTTATTAGCACAGAACTCTTAGAGTTGGTTGTTTCTGTGATCACATGGCTGCCCAGGAGCCACTTCTGCCCAGCATCCTGGGGGAGAATCTAACGCCTACCACTAACCAAGGAAAAGTTCAAACTATGCTTTCTATGGATTATGTATCAACTACATACCATTGTAAAGTTGAAAAAATTTGAACCAAACCATTACAACTACCATGTGTGGACCCCTGAGCTATCTGCATTGTTACTGCACAGACATTCTTAAGACACCTATTGCTACTACCAGCTTACTTGACCTCTTTCTATGTCTTTCAAGATTCCTTGTGGAAAAATTAGTCATACGTAAAATACGTACCTACATTTGGAATCTTTATAAATTTAATGTTAATCTGGAACATGAACAATCACATCGCTCTTGAAATGTTGACTTTTACTTCGTGGATTGCAGATCAAATAATTTTTTTTTTCTTTCAGGAGAGAGAAACTCCTTATGGAGCTGTGGTTTTCTAAACTGTGAGTGTCACTGCAAAGAGAGCAGAGCTCTCAAAATCACAGAGAAGTCTGAAAAGAGAAGTATTTGGAGGGAGTACCCAGGAAAAAAAAAAAGCAGAAATGGGACAGAAAACCCTCAGGCTTTCTTTTAAGCTTTGCATTTCAACAAAGAAGAAACTGGGCTCCTGAGAGATGATTTCCTGAATGGTGCCTACTTTGATTTAATCTTTCTACCAGGAGTCTTAAATGCCACAGAGAGATGAAACCCATTATTTTAGCCTTGAAAAACAAGACAAATGAAAGTGAAATGAACCAAGTAAAAATGCCATCCTTTTTCAATGTGCAAGTTCAACAAACCTGTTTCTGCCCTTAGTTCTACTGACCAGTTCTTAAAGGTAATAAAACATCTATCTGATCGCTGAGGCTTTAAAGGGTTTCTGCAAGAACCAATCTCAGATAAGACTTGGAAAACTCAACTGAAAGCCCATTAAAACCAAAATGGATTAATGACTTCGCAGTGGGAGTTCCAGACAGAAGTAGTGCTTCTGGTTCTCAGGATCATTAGCAAGAAACAGACACACCTTTCCCCGCTAGAGTCCTAGGTAGGGTTAGTGCCAATCAGGTCTGCTCTCAGAAGCTGACACTGCCACCCGGGAAAGAGACACTTACTTCATGCCAGCAGCTGTACATAGCTTCATAGACACACATGGGTGCCAAGAGAGGGCGATACAGCCGGAAACCTTTAGAGATGACTTCCACAACTTGCAAATTTGACTTGTTTTCAAAAGGTATTTTTCCTTCTGTAAAAACCTCCCACATTAAAACTCCTGAAAACCAAATGCATGAAAACAGAGGGGTTAGAGAGAAATGCTCGCTTGGAACTGAAAGAACTGTTTGCTTCACATTATAAGAAATTATTTTTCTCCACCAGCACTGAAGCTATAATAATCCGAAGTTAAGAGCAGTTCCAGCCAGGAAGTAGACTGTGCACACCTGTCTTTGAAGAGGCTCCTAGCTTGAAAATAAGGCACTAAGATGTGGCCTCCAACTTCCACACAAGACTGCCACACATCAGTAGAGAGCTAATGAGGTGAACAATGCAAGCTTAACTTTATTGTGGGCATTACAGTCATAGCCTCTGAGGGCCAGAAGTCTCTCCAAACCCAGAGCCACCCAGGAAAGTTTGGATAAAAGAGAATATATAGGTTTTTGCACATTTATTGCCATCTCCTGAAAATCAACTGGAACAAACTGTACTGGACATGTGTCATTTTCTCAATGAAGAACATGACTTAATGTAAATATCAATAAACAGGTCCTACGGAAGCCTTTATTCACATCCCATAAAACTTGAAGATAATAAGGTAAATAAGCTTATGACATTTTTTTTAAATCTAGACCTTACATTTGGGTTGTTCATTAAACAGTCAAAAATAGTCGATCTGCTTAGTTAGACAATGAAGTTTATTAAGCACACTTGAAAATCAGTAATGGCCTTAACATCATTTTCTGTCAAGCCAGTCTTGTGGAAAAACTGGCCAAGTTTGATTTCTAGGTCAGTACACTCTTTATTATAGTTTTACAGGAAATGCTAATTGGGGAAGGAAAAGGTTCAAAGACAGACTTATGTAAGAAGGTGTATGACACCAGTTGCCAAAACCAGTCTGGATGTGGCTAAAAAACATAAGAAAGCACAAGTTACAAGAAGACATTCACAATGCTTTATTATATTAAGAAGTCAAAGTTAGGGCCTGGGATTTAGCTCAGTGGTTCCAGCACCTGCTTTGCAAACACAAGGACCCAAGTTCAATCCCTGGTACCAAAAAAAAAAAAATCAAAGTTAAACAGAAGAGATTATCCATTATATTAAATCAAGTGAACAGTAAATGTACTTACCAAATGACCAGACATCAGATTTACTACTGTATTTGTTGAAATGAAAAACTTCAGGAGGGGACCATTTGATTGGGAACTTGGCCCCAGAAGAACTGATATATTCATCATCCAAGACATATCTGCAGTCATCAAATTCAAAGCATATTGTGTGTAAGTCTTACTTACTTCAAATCCCTTTGGTTAATATGAGTTGCTTAAAGACAGAGTATTTCACCCAGAAATGTTCTGTACACTTTCTCTTCTCATTAGCAAATTGTGAAATTATCCCACACATATTTTCTCCCAAACCAAGTCTGCTTATATTTAATTTCATTGAGTCTCAGAAATCCATAACAATCCTGGCATTTTCTCATGTCTAGAGACTTGTCTGAGATTGAGATTAAGGGTGGTGGGCTAATTAATCTAGCAGAAGAAATTTCAAAACAGTCTAAGGTTGAGGCAGTGGCGTGGTTACTGTTGGGCACTTTTAGCCAGATCTATGTTGAGAACCAAGAGCAAAAGCCCAGAAGAATGATTCAAAATGTTTTGAGTTTGGCCAGAAAAGAAGCTCCAGTAAAGCTGTGATCTCAAAAGAGAAGAGGAGATCTTGATTGGTGAGAAGGAACAGGAGAATAAGAAAAGATGGCCTGAGGCTGTCACTAGAAGCAGCAGGACTCTACCCCTTGCAGCCTCAAAATTGCAAACATGAAAGATTTTGTTTTGTGACGAGAGCTCCCCAAGCACCATGTTCCAAAATGGTGGCTGCCTAGGAAAGTTTTCCTCAGGATTTGGTTCATAGGCACTGGAGTCCTACAGTCAGGAGAGAAGGAAGCCTGGCTATTGCTTTAGCTGCCGGCAGACCTTGGCATCGTCCATGTGGCACTAGTTTTAAGTGCATGCATAATGCAGGAGTTTTGGAATCAGGAAGGCTTCCACCCCAGAGTTCAGAAGAAGGTCTGGGAGGCCAGGCAGAGTGCTCCTGAGAGGGTAGTGTGTGAAGCAGAGAGTGTGAAGCCAAAGGTGCAGTGGAGGACACAGAAGGTCGGAGAGGCCAGAAATGTGATTTGTCTGAGGAAAACTGCAAGGTGGGAGTAGAGGCAGCCCTCGAGAGAAGCCATGGAGCTACAACCAACCAAAGTGCCACAGGAGCAGAGACATCCAAGCCCTTTGGAATTCATAATGTGCCACAGATTGCCAGGAATGCTGGAAGTGGAATTATGGGATGTAATGTTTTCGCTGTTGGATTTTGGACTTGCTTTAGTTCCGTTCCTTTGAATTCCCTGTTTGGAATGAAAATGCCTGACTTGTGCCATTGAAAGTTGGAAGTATTTAATTTTTTTTTTCATTTGTACAGGGGCTTGCGGCTAAGAATTTGGTTTAAATCTCAAAGGAGAATTTGGACTCTGAAATTTCAGCAATGCTGAAACTGCTAGGACTTTGACAACTCTTAGAGGTGGACTAAATGCTTTATTACATGAAGGAATGTACATGAGTCTTTGGAGGGCCAGAGGCGGAATGTTACCGCTTGTGTTTAGATGTCCCCCCAAAGCCTCCAGCAGTCAGAGGTGGGGCTTTTTCTGAAATTGATTCCTGGTGCAATGCTCAGTTCAAGGGCACTAGGATTGAGGGTGTGAGTGCTACCCACCCTAAGTAGTCTGCATAAGATTAAAAGGGCAGAAAGGCTCTGTTGAGGGACCTTCCTTGCTCCCTTGCTTTTGCTACCATGTGGGCACCATGAGTTGTTTCTGCTCTTCAAAGTCCCTCTGCCATGTGTCACTCTGCCTTGGAGTCTGCCAGTTATGGAATGAAACCTCTACAAACTGTGAGATAAATAAGTCTTTCCCCCTTTCACACTGGATGTCAGCTATTTTGTATCAACAATGAGAAAAGTTGGAAAGATAGATGAAAAGAAAAAATACAGATACATATTTTCTTTCATGTGCATATATTGGAAGGGGATACAGAGGAGGACAAAATTATATTAACATAATACTCCTGATATAGGAAAAAATATCTAATGCACTAAAATTGCCTTATATAAAAAGAAATTAGGAATAACCACAATCTCCTTGTAAAAAAACATTAAATCCTCTCTTTTTTGAGAACTATATGTAGGACTATCCAGGTGCTAGAACCTGGAGAGGACAGTCAATAACTAACTGAGCTAGTTGTCCCTTGAGTATACAATATAGTATTCTTGAATTATTTATTAATGTTGTCACCATACTTCCACTTTTTTATCCATGTACTCTATCTTCCTCCACCTTTAAGCCTTCCTTTATTCAGTCAGAGGTCAATCTACTTCCTTGAAAGTAAAAAAAATAAATAATAGAAAACAAAGGGGGAAAGTTATTTTCCACGGATTTGGAGCTTCTAAAGTCTAGGGAGGACTTTAGAGAGGAGAATTGAGTTATTAACAAGGTATTTAGGAAAATGGGTCATGAATAAGAGTGAAATCGAACCACTACCACCCAGCCATTTGGACAAAGGTCCCTTGAGTTAGGAGGAATGGGAAAACAGAAAGGACAGGGGAGAAATATTAGATATCAATGGGTTGCTAAGTTAGGGTGCAGTACCTTGCATCTTTAAAGGATGTCTGAGACACGTAGCAGGGAAAGAACCTCCCATTCCCAAATGAGATTGGTTGGGACTCAAGATAAAAACAGGACGTATGCCCTTTTCAGGTAGAAGCCCAGAAAGACAGAAAGATTCCAAAGAGCAAATGGCTGTGCCTGTGTCTAGGTGAGGCCTCCCTTTGCCCCATGGGGTTTTCTAACCCCAGAGAACGCCAGTTCTGAAGGAATCATGCAGGTGAGTTGCAGGCACTTTGTGTGGTTGACCAGCCACAGCCAAGACAGGATAGTGGCTACAAAGATACCACTGTTCCTAGACAACAGCAGGGCCAGACAGGCCACTGCTTTTCCAGGACACAGCCCTATTAGATACCTATGCCTGGAACTTTGAAGCTAAGGAAAGTCAGGGAGAAATCCTGAGTGCATTTCTGTTCAATTTCTGGCACCCAAAAAACATGGGCTCAAAATGTAAACTGTGAGTTACAGAAACAGATGGTTCTATGGAGTTGTAGAAACAGATGGTTAGATTTCCCACACTCTACAGTCATAGCCTTAAATCAAACTGCAAAATGTGATAATAGAAGTGTTTGATGATGACCTACAAAAATCTGGGTGTTTGTTTTGTTTTGTTTTTGTCTTTCAAAAATATACACTTATGAGAAAACTGCTTTTCCTAATCTTACACATATTTTAAGGGCTACCAAAATTTTGTTCATAATGACCTGAGAGAAGATAAAAAGAATAGCCAAGAGTAAATAGATATCTCACAGCTAAAATTGGTGTGTGCGCTGAAATCCACACTGGGTCAACCTTTCAAACACTTCCCCAGTATAAAAAAGCAGAGCCAGTAGTATCCTTGGTTTGTCAGTAGACAAATGTAAGCTTTCTTCTCATGAGTAAATAAAATATACATATGTAGATATATAAATACATACATCACATACCTTGTCATTCCAAAGTCTGAAATTTTTACTATACATGTAGAACTAACCAAACAGTTCCTTGCTGCCTATAGTAAGAAGAAAAATAATCCAAATGAGACTACAAGTTTTTCCTTCAAGAGTTTCTACCCCCATTCTTGCTAGTTTATTTGAGCCCCCATATTTCCTCTGTGTGGATAGCCTCATTGTTTGGCTGATAGTGGTCAGTGATATTCATGATTTAATAGTCTGCCCTTATGAGGTGAATTTTAATGATTCTTCAGTATAACAAGAAATCTCAACACTTTTACTTTTAAAAATATTTGGTCTTCCTCAAGAAATATCTTTGATAAAGATGGGTGGGAATTCAACCTAACAGATGATAAACTATGACTCATGGCATAAAATAGTGTATACTTTGTACTTATTTTAAACAAAATAAGATAATATACCTGAGAGCTAAGGCATAGTCAATATATAAGACAGACAAAGCACAGTCATTTCATACCTTTGGGATCTCCAACAAATAATATAAATTAAGTAACTATATTGGTTAAACTTGTGTTTCATGGAAGAATATGTGATAGTGCTAACTTCATATTTCTTCAAATTACCACAGTGAACCAGGCATAGCACTATCTAATGCAGAGGCAATATATATGATGCCAAAACAATCCATTTTCAGCAACTTAGTAGAGAAAATCATTGATTTGATTATTTATCTTCACACAGGTGAACCGTTTGATAGAACTTTTCTCTTCCCAGTGAACTTGTGGTTCAATGGGTCCGGTAACAAAAGCAAGAAACCTGAAATGGTAAGCCAGAAGCAGCCTGTTTCAAATATGCTAGCAAGTACCAGCAATAGTCTCAACGCCACACCACAAGAAAGGTTCTGAGAGGAAAAAGACTCATTTGTCATTTGATATATTTCACTTGGCATGAAGGTAAATGAAACAGAACACAAAGAAAAGGAGCGATCAGAGAAGAAAGCAAGGGTAAGAGGATCTGTGAGAAGCCACCAGGAACCAATAGAATTGTTACACGACTGGGTTTTGAATTATAATCTTTATCAGAAAAGACAAACTGTCAGAGACCAAGAAAGTGAGCTAGGTGGAATCCATACTACAGCCATCCACTCAAAAATGTGTTCAATAGCTCCTGTGCCCTGGATAGCGGGGAATGTTCTCTAAGAGGTGAAACCTGGTGATCTAGCTCTGTAAGGACAATAGTTAGCTCTCCTACCAACCAGGCATCTATGAATTATAAAGCAATTCGTGTCATCCTTCCCAACAAACCCACAGCAGGGAGATGCTAGAGTTAGTACCATTCACTGGTTAGCTGACTTACGCAGGGCCACACAGTGAAAAACAGAGGCAAGATCTTAATCCAGTCAGTGGGAAACCAGCGAAGCGGTTCTCAACCTCCCTGCCTGTGGGACTCACCAGGCAATTTTCAAAACACATTGATATCTTGCTTCCATCTCCAGAGATTCTGATTTAATTGGTCTGTGGTGTGGCCTGGGTGTGGTGATTTTTCTCAAAGCTCCCAAGTGATTCTAGTGCACAGCACAGTTTGATGTTTGAGAACCTTTGTTCTGCAACCTATGTTTTTGTCTCACTGTGCTCCATCTCAGAAGCCTCAGAAGCCATGTAGAATCCAGTACTCACTAAGATATATCTTAGGATATATCACAGGAATATATAAGATATATCACAGGAATAGTAAATACAACGGGAATTCAAAACTGTGGGTTTTATACGCATACTCCCCAGTTCCGTGTAACTGCTCTTCCTGTCTCCTTCCAAAATATTCCATTCTGAATGATGAACACTTCAGTATGCTCTTTGGGTCATGTATAACAGAAACAGAAGATTACTCCTATGTGACAGAATCAGAGATTTCTTAGAGTATTCTCAAATTCTCATTTCAATCAACTTTTAAATTTACAAATAATACACAGATAGTTGCAGGGGAATAGCATTAACATCCTGAATAAATGTGGAATGGACAGAACACATAAGGAGGGATGGTAAAGAGATATAGTACAACAAGGGAAACAGTGCTATCAGCATTTGGTTGGGTGCAAGACAGTCATTTTTCTAAAGAATGTTCCAAGCATTGTAGAACAGGATGATTTCATATTTCTAGTCTTCTCCATAAAGCCAGTATTGCTCTTGCAGAATTGTCAGAACCAAAACACTTGTGTGCGGTGCCAATTCCTGGGTACTGCTCTGTCCCCAGGGCCTAGCAGAGTGCTTGGCTTATTCTAGGCATTTTGTAGCTGTCTGATTAATGGCAGAAAGGAAGAGAGGCAGAAGGAAAGAAGAAAGGGAAGGAAGAAAGAAGAGAAGGAAAGTAAACCAGCTTCAGTTCATTGGTTAGGTGGTTACTTATTTCATGGAGTATCTACAATAGTCATAGCATCAATGGGAAATTGAAAATAAAGTTAACATCTTATAAAAGCATTTCACAAATAGGAAACTGTCAAAAAATTAAGCTAAAAGATACATTCTTCCATGTATAGAAGTAATTGTCATGTCCTTCCAAATATAGATATACTACATAGAATAACAAGTTAATGTGCACCATACTTACTAAATCTCTATGGATATAGCAGTTCCTCTCCAGATACTCCATTCCCTCACATATATCCTGGCACACACTCAGGAGCATCTCTCTTCTAAGCCTTCCTTTTCTCTCCCTGAGATAGGTGAGCAGGCAGCCATTCTCCATGAACTCCGTCACAATATAAAGGTGTTTCTGCTGTATACACACCCCATAAAGTTGCACTAGCCTTGAATGTGACAGCTTCCTGTAGAAGAAAAACATTTCCAGAGAAAAGTATTTGAACACAAATGGCGATAGTTAGCTTCTGTGCAACATTTTCATTCTCAAGATGAGGATCAACCCGACCACAGAGAAAGCATTTTCCTTTCCCCTTTATGCACTGAGAAAGTGGGGTCAGAAGTTTAGTACTTCCAAGGTCATTGTCAAAGCAAAACATTACATGTCCCATATTCTTCTTGTCAACATTCCATTTTTCTCTGTTTTGTTTTGTATGCCCTCTGCTTCCTTGTTAGTGCTTATTCTGGCACAGGTCTCAGAGTTCTGCCCCTTGAATTCCAACCTTCTAACTGTGGTCGGTCAAAAAGGGAAACTCTGGACAAGCAGGAGGGAGGAAAGAGTGATCGGTGGACATGAAGAAAAGGAAAATTAAATTCTAAAGAGTAAAGCCATTAAATATTAAAATCTTAGATATAGTTAGAGACTACAAAACATTTATCAACATAAAATCTTTTTTTCCTCATTGAGTTTATTGGTACATTTTAGGTATACAGTACAGTTACATTCATTATTGGGATCTTATACCTTTATGTGACAGGACTTGCTTTTCATTTTTTCCCCTTATCCCTGCCCTTCCTTCACCCTCTCCACCCTCCCTATTTACAAAGACTTTGTTTCCATTTTTTCCTTTTCTCATATTTTTTTCTTTTCCCTTATTTCCTTTCCCCTACCCTTCCCACTTCCCTGCACCTTTAGCCCTTTTCTTCCTATTTCACATTGTCAGTTATACAATTTGGATCTTATTTACACTTTTAGTTTTCCACACCAGAGAAACTATTCAGTATTTACACGTGTGTCCTATTTATTTCACTTAAGAGTATGGCCTCAATATGCATCTATTTTCCTATGAATGGCTCTAGTTCTCATTCTTTATGGCTGAGTAGTACCCCATTTCATAGAAAAACCACATCTTCTGTATCCAGTCTCCAACTGATGGGCAATTGGGCTGTTTCCAAGGTTTGGCTATTACAAACTGTGCCACTATAAACATGGGTGCACATATATCACTGTGGTATAATTCTTTTAATTCCTTTGAAAAGATATCCAGCAGAGGGTAGCTGGGTCAAATGGAACCTCTAATCCTAGCTCTTTGAGGTATCTCCATATTGATTTCAACAGTGTACCAAAATGAAATCTTGATGTGTACTTAGTAATTACATACACACATGCACGCATACAAACAATTCCTTGAATATTGCCTGTTAAAACATGCCCAGAGCTTTTGAATCTAGACTACAAAAGAGTGTTGTTTCAGGGCCTGGGATTTAGCTCAGTGGTGCCACTGCCTGCCTTGCAGGCAAAAGGTCCTGAGTTTAATCCCTGGCACCAAAAAAAAAAATTGTTTTGTCTGTGGCACCTAACATTCAATCTCTAAAGGCCTTTTATACCAATTGGTCACCATGGAAAACAATTTCAAATTGATGTTTATAATTGTAGAAAATGTAAAACAAGCAATTCTCTGTTGCCTTGAAAAGTTATTTCTTTTTATTCATAAAAATAAAACAAAATCAGTGATTCAGGAAGACTATATTAAAATAACACAAAAGAGTGTTTACAGACAAAGTACCATTACCTTAGTTTATGAAACCACTCTAATTAATTAGAAAGAGAGATTGTATCCATAGTAAAAGACATGATTAATAACTCTAGAGCAAACATAGTTTTAAAAAAAATAGAGGATCTGAGGAACATGATGGAATCCCAACATAGGAAGCAAATGGAATCCATAAAACAGATGCAAACAGATTTCCAGGAGATTAAAAACTCCACCAAAAGTTTACACAGCAGAATGAGCCAATGTGAGGACAGAATTTCAGGTATAGAAAACAGAATTGCAACTGGTAACCAGGAAAAGAAAAATCTCTTAAATATAGTAAGGAATGATGAGAAATCAATCCAGTAGCTGCTAGATGATGCAAAGAAGAATAACATAAGACTGATGGGAGTCGATGAAGAAATAGGACAAAGTACAAATGAATTAAAAACTGTTCATAGAAAAAAATAGCAGAAAACTTTCCTAGTAGGGACTAAGTGAGGCATATAGGACTCCAACCAGCCATGATTAAAAAAGATCTACACCTAGGCATATAATAGTTAAGATTCCACAAACCCAACAGAAGAACAAAATTCTAAAAGCAGTTAGAGAAAAGAAACAAATCATATACAAAGGAAAGCCCATCAGAATCACAGCAGACTTCTCAATACAAACTCTCAAGGCAAGAAGAGCCTGGAGTGAAGTATTTCAAACCTCAAAACAAAATAGCCTCCAACCCAGATTGATGTACCCTGCAAAACTATCTCTCAAAACTGATGGAGAAATAAGACACTTTCATGACAAAGTGCACCTAAGGAATTTCATGAATACCAAACCAGCACTCCAATAATTTTTTAAATATCCTAGAAAAGAAAATGAGGGTAACAACCCCAAGAAGCCCAGCCGAATGAATTCATCAGACAAGACAAGAAATTAAATGCAAAGGGGAAAATCCAACAATAAGGAAAGGTCATGACAAGAATAAGGCAAAACATATCAGTTATAACTGTCAACATTAGTGGTCTCAATTTACCAATCAAAAGAAATAGACTGGTAGAATGGGTCAAGAAGCAAGATACAAGAAACACACTTAATTCAAAAAGAAACTTATAGACTGAAAGTTAAAGGGTGGAAAACAATATTCTATGCAATAGGAACCTGAAAAAAAGCAGGATTAGCTATCCTATTTGCAAATAAAATGGATTTCAAACCAACACTGATTAAGAGGAACAATGAAGGACACTATATCCTTGTAAAGGGAACAATATAAGAAAAAGAGGTGACAGTTATAAATATACATGCACCAAACACTAGTGCACCCAACTATATAAAACAAATACTAAAAGACATGAAAAGTCAAATAAGCACTAATACAATAGTTGTGGCGAACATCAATACCCCACTGTCACAAATAGATACATCAACTAGACGAAAAGTAAAAAACAAAATACTAGAACTCAACCAAACTCTCAAACAAATGGACTTGACAGATATTTACAGAGTGTTCCACCCCACAAAATTTCACATTCTTTTCACATTCTTTTCAGCTGCACACAGATCGTTCTCCAAAATAGACCACATACTTGCTCACAGAACATGTTTAAATAAATGCAAAGGAGTTGAAATTGTCCCCTGTATATTATCAGATCACAGTGCAATGAAGTTGGAGATCAATAGCAAAAGAAACCACAAGAATTGCATAAAACACGGGAATCGAACAACACACTCCTGAACAACCAGTGGGTCACAGAGGAAATTAAAGAAGGAATCAGAGTTTCTACAATTAAATAACAATGTCAGTGAAACATATCAGAATTTATGGCACACAAGGAAAGCAGTCTCACAAGAGAAATTCATAGCAATGAACACTCATATTAGAGAAACAGAGAAAGCTAAATTAAACAACTTTATGCTGAACCTCAACCTTCTAGAAAAAGAAGAGTAGGACAAACCCAAAGCTCATTCAAGGGAGGAAATTATAAAGATCAGAGCAGAAATCAATTCAATAAAGACTTGTGAACAATACAAGAGATCAATGAAGCAAAGAGTTGGTTCTTCAGAAGAATAAACAAATCTGGCAAACTCCTAGCCAACCTTATCAAAAAAGGGAAAGAAAAGACCCAAATCCATGCAATTAGGAATGAAAATGGTGAAATTACAATGAACCCAGCAGAATACAGAGGATCATTAATATCTACTTTGAGAACCTATACTCCAATAAGATGGAAAACATAGAAGAAATGGACAGATTCCTAGATATGTATAAATTACCAAAATTGAATGAAGAAAACCTAAAAATTCTAAACAACACATTATCAACAACAGAATTGAAAATATGATTAAAGACTTACCAAAGAAGAAAAGTCCAGGTCCTGATAGCTTCACTGCTAACTTCTACAAGACATTTAGAGAACTATTGCCACTACTGTTTGAACTCTTCAATAAAATTAAAAGGGAGGTAATGCTCCCAAATTTATTCCTGGAAGCAAGCATCACCTTGATTCCAAAAGCAGAGAAAGATTCAACTGAAAAATAAAACTGTAAGCCAATCTCACTACTGAACATAGATGCAAAAATCCTCAAGATACTGGCAAACAAGTCTGGGGATTTTGCTCAATGGCACCACACGTGCCTCACAAGTGCAACGTCTTGAGTATGATCTCCAATACCAAAAAAAAGAGGGAGGGGGCAAACCGAATGCAGAAGATCATCAAGAAGATCATACACCCTAACTAAGTGGGATTCACCCCAGGGATTCAAGGATGGTACAACATGTGCAAATCAATACATGTAATACGCTATATTAATAGAGCCAAGGACAAAAACCATATGATCATCTCAATAGATGCAGGAAAAGTGTTCAACACAATTCAATGCATATTCATGATGAAAAAGAAGCCCTACAGAAAATTGGCATAGATGGTTTCTATCTGAACCTGATAAAAGTATCTATGAAAAACCAATAGCCAATATCATACTAAATGGTCAAAAGCTGAATTCTTCGGTGGCCTGAACAAGGATTCCATTATCGTCACTCCTGATCAATATAGTTTTGGAAACATTAACCACAGCAATTAGACAAAAGAAAGAAAACGAATAAAAATATGAAACAAAGAAGTTAAACTGTCATTATTTGCAGATGACATGATACTCTACACAGAAGTCCCCAAAAACTCCACCAAAAGTCTTCTAGACTTCATAACCAAATTCAATAGGGTATCTGGGTAAAAGGTAAACACACAAAAATCAATAGCTATCCTGTACATAAACAACAAACTTACTGAGAGAGGAATTGAAGAAACAACTCCTTTCACAATAGCATCCCTCAAAAAAGAAATAGCTAGGAATCAACCTAATGAAAGTAATCAAAGACCTCTACTCTGAAAACTATAGCACTCTGAAAAAGGACTGAAGAGGCTTTCAGAAAATTGAAAGGCATACCTTGCCCCTGTGTAGGAAGAACCAGTATAGTGAAAATGGCCATACTTCCAAAACTGCTACATAGTTTCAATGCAATCTCCATTGAAATCCCAACAGAATACTTCACAGACCATGAGAAAACAATCCAAAAATTCATTTGGAATCAGAAGAGACCTAGAATAGCAAAAGCAATTCTAGGCACAAAGACAAGGTAGGAGGTATCACAATCCCCAACTTGAAACTATACTACAAAGCTACTGTGATAAAATCAGCATGGTACTGGCAAAGAAACAGATCCGAGGACCAGTAAAACAGATGAGAAGATGCAGAAATAACTCCAGGCACAATCAGCCACCTCATCTTTGACAAAGGAGCCAAACACCATCACTGGAAGAAAGAGATGGCCTCTTTAATAAATGGTGCTGGAAAAGTTGGGTTTCAACTTTTCAAAGATTAAAACTAGACCTATATCTCTCACCAATGCACTAAACTAAATTTAAAATGGATTAAAGATCTAAATGTTAAAAGAGTAACACTAAATCAGCTGGAAGAGAGGTTAGGTAGAACTCCTGAAGACATTGGCATAGGAAAAGATTTCATAAGCAAAACCTCAGTTGTATGTGAAGGAGCACAAAAAATCATCAAGTGGGATCTGATCTCTTCTTATTAAAAAGCTTCTGCACAGCAAGAGAAACCACCAAGAGCATGAAGAAACAACCTAAAATGTGGGAAAAATTTTTCACCAGCTCTTCCTCAAAGGTCTACCATCTAGAATATTTAAAGAACTTAAAAAAGATCAGACCTCCCAAATTTAAAGACCCAATCCAAAAATGGGCATCTGAAATAGACATTCCTCAGGCCAAGAAGTAGAAATAGCAAACATATGAAAAAGTGTTCAACATCTCTGGTCATTTCAGATATGCAACTAAAAACAATGCTGAGATTCCACCTGACTCTAGAAAGAATGGCTGCTATCATGAAATCAATAACAAGTGCTGGTGGGGTTGTTTGGGAAAAGGAACCCTTCTCCACTGTTGGTGGAAGTGTAACCTGGTGCAACCACTGTCGGAAATCAGTACGGCGATACCTCAAAGAGTTAGGATTAGAGCTTCCATTTGACTCAGCTATTCCCCTGCTGGGTATCTTCCCAAAAGAATTAAAAGAATCATACCACAGTGATATGTGTACACTCATGTTCATAGCAGCACATTTTATAATAGCTAAATCTTGGAAATAGCCCAATTGCCCATCAACTGGAGACTGGATAAAGAAAATGTGGGATTTTTTAAAATAAAATGGAGTACTACTCAGCCATAAAGAATGAGAAACTAGAGACATTTATAGCTAATGGATGCACATTGAGGCCACACTCTTAAGTGAAATAAATTAGACACGCATGGGTAAATACCAAAGAATTTCTCTGGTGTGAAAAACTGAAAGTGTAAATAAGGATCAAAATGTATAGTTGATAATGTGAAATAGGAAGAAAAGGTCCAAAGGGGAAGGGGAAGTAAAGAGGGGTAGGGAAAAGGCAAGAAAAGGAAGGGATAAATACGAGAAATGGAAACAAAGTCTTTGTAAATAGGGAGGGTGGAGTGGTTGAGGGGAAGACAAGGGAATGGGAAAGAAAATAAGAACCAAGATATATTATGTAAATGTACAAATTCCCAAAAATGAATATCAGTATATTGGATACATATATGTACCAGTAAAATTAATGAAAAAAATTTCCTGCAATGACATGATGAGTGAAATGAGATGCATGAAAATGTTCCTGGAGATGTACTTATGCATGCTTTCATTATCGGAAAAGTTATTAGTTAATAGCTCTCCTTGTAGTGCACTGCTATTGGCAAGCTTCATCCAAAACACAAACCCAGGATCCACAAAAGATCATTCAAAGCTTTGATCATTTAGGGAGAGATAGCACTGCTGATCTGATCAAAAGGGCCGAGCCCAGGTTGGTTTTGCCCCTATTTTCTGCACGTCCAGAAGTAGCTTATTTAAGCTAAGTTCTGTTGTTAAAATGTGTGCAGTGGGATTAAAAAAATGGCTCTCTTATTTCTAAGAAACATTACATAAGATCTCATTTATGAATGTACAGCAAGGATAAGCCAAGGTAAAAGTAAAATTCGAGAGTTTAACAGGATCTTATGGGCCAAAGTTGTCCCAGAGGATCAGACTGGCTTTCCTTCGTTCTTCCGGTCTTTCACAGGCACTCTGAAAACGTAGAGACCAGGTGCCAGTGTAGACAATTTCCCTCACTAAGACAGCACAGTGTGTACTTGAGGTTTTTCTTCTGCTACACTGGAAAAACTACATACAAGGATGGCAATTGGGGTTAATACATATGGCAACTAAAAGATATTAGTTTGTCAATAAATGTTTGATGAGTTTGGTGCTGGTGTGCACTGGTAGGCACAGGGTTCCCTTACAGAGATGGAGGAAGGCTCCATAGACTGAGGAAAAAGCAGATGTGTTGAATTTGAGAGACCTATGAGGTGGTCCACGATGACCTAGTGGTCAGGTAAGTACACGAGTGTGGTGCTCAGGAGAAAGGTCAAAGTGGAAGGTTTTACTTTAACAGTGATCACCAGAGATGATATTTAAAACTGTGAAGCTTCATTCGATTCTTAAGGGAAGGAGGATAATTAGACCAGGGTAACAGGAGAAGGCTGTACAGAGTGTGAAAATATTTAAATAACAAGTATGCCCTACAGGGAATTATACCTACTTCTCTAAAGGTGTGTGTTAGTTAAGATCGTGGTCTATGTGGCCAGACAGTTCAGAGCTCTGGTTTCAAATAAAGATCTAATTGTGGGACTATGCGCAAATTGCAAAAACTAAATTTCCTTTTTTTCATCTTTTCAAATTGAGATATACCTCATAGAATTGCAGTGAGGCCTCATTAACTCATTCAATAATCGACGTGTTTTTTTTAAGCACCAATTAAAAGCTAGTCTTAGTTCTAGGCATTTACCATATTGAGTGAGAAACATAAATAAATAGCTCTATTATCGTGGAATTCATATTATAGTAGAGGTGAAACAAAAACACAGGTGAAGCTTCAGAGTAGTTACAAGTACTCTGACAGAACTTACACAGACTGAAAGCACCAGAGTGGAGGAGGGGACCCTTAAACTGCATACCTTTATAAAAAGCAGTTGCATGCACAGAGCTGTGTATATCTGGCAGAAAGAGCTCAGTGCCTATCTGCTGCTTAAAGATGAATATATTTTCAGTAGGATATTAGAATGGAACTTTTCCTGCCTTCCATTCAAAGCAAATCAGAAAAAGTCAACTATATTCCAATCCAAGAACACTATGTCCGTCTGAACTGACTTAAGCTGTTGGCCTCATTCCTGCCTCTAAAAACTGCCCCGAGGAGCTTCTATTCCCCACACTCTGTACATCTTCCATTGCTCTCAGGAGATCCTAATTCCCGTTTGCCAACCAGGACTGAAGCTTTCAAGAAACCGCTCACTTTCTTTTTTCTTATTTTCCCCATACCCCTGCCCTCCCTTCACCCCCTTCACCCTTGCTTATTTCCAAAGACTTTGTTTTCGGTGTTTCCTTTTTTTCACGTTTTCTTTCCCCTCATTTCCTTTCCCCTCCCCTTCCTACTTCTCCTTTAGCATGCAAGAATCCTCTCATCGTGATGTCAGGTGTCTTTACTTCTTCCTTGTTTGACGGGGATTCCAGGGTTGCCTCAGCGCTCCCAGAGACAGGGGTCTCCACACGTGCTCCCCAGAGCCCTCTGGAGCAGCTCATAGGACTATCGTATTTGTCATTTATATACGGGGAACCCGTGGTTGGATGAATATAGTTTCAAAGAGCAGAGGCCAGGCAGACAGACCACTGAAGTACCTTGAGGCCCAAAAACATCTTTGGGAAAGCTAATGTCATTGGAAATTTGTTTATCTATTTTTTTTAACCTCCTCCTCCAAAATGCACTCCATTGTAAGTGGATAGAAGGGATATATCGATAGGATACTTGGAGTATGAATGAATACAAAAACCCCAAAAGACACCATTGCTCTGTCTTCGAAGGCCAACTGGTGTAATTGATCCCTTCCAGGGGCTGTTTGTTCACTTTTTGGTTTGTTTTGTTCTGTTTCCAGTAGGGATCTGCAAGACTGGGACAGAACTAAACTGCTCTGTACAACCAAGGGAAGCAAAATAACACGCCTGGGGCTTCCCTTCTGCACCACTGTGCTGCTCTTCTAAATAAATGCTGAACAAATATGCAAAGAATGTTCATTTGAACTGTGCCAAATTATTGGCCTGTCCGGGTCCAGCCCAGGTCATAGCTGTAAACCACAAGCACAGCTTAAACAGGGTCAGGTGCTGTCCCAGAAAATGACAGATATTAAAAGGCAGTGCTGAACGGTCTATAGAGAGCTACCTCTTTTTTAAAGCTCAGGGTTCTTAAATTCTTTGAAAGCAAATGCTTTATCCTTATCAAAGGAGGAGGAAAAGAAGAGGGAAGGAGGAGGAGAAGCAGAAGCAGGAGGAGGAGAAGGAGCAGGAGGAGAAAGAAGAAGAGGAAGGGGAGGAAGAAGAAGAGAAGAACAACAATAACAACTTTTTCTCTCTTTACCTCTGCGGGAGGCTCTTGTAAAAAATGAACACTACACTATTACTCATGCAAAATCAATATGTGTGCTTCTAGTAAAAAAAAAAAGAAATAAAGAGTGCTTGTTCCATGCTTGTTATTGAGCTGAAAAGAATATACTTGCTTTTCTTGTTCATAGACCATCTTATCAATTCACACGATGATCCGGTGAAGTAGGAACTATTGGCCCCATTTTACAGATGAAGTCACTGAGGCTTGGAACTATGAAATGGTTCAACCAGATCACACAGGGCTCAAATGATCTGCCAGGGTTCCACAATTAGCTTGGCCAGCCTTGTGACACAATCCAGATGTGGCTGCCTCTAAAGTTCACGCTGCTCCCATGACAGCAGGAAATCAGACAGTCTTCATGCGGGCCTGTGTATACTCACGTCATCACTTTGGCCTCTTCAATGAAATCTTCCTCAGACATGGAGCCTTCACTGATGGCCTTGATCGCCACCTTGATATGAGCTCGCCATTCACCCAAATGGACCACCCCGAACTGACCGCTCCCAATCTGCTGGACAAAAGCCAGCTCACATGGATTTATCTCCCACTTCTCTGGAAAAGGAAAAATCCATGTTACAAGTAGGAGGGGAAAGGGATAACACTGTAGAACCAGAACAGATTTAAGAATCATCTGGTTCTAGCCTCTTATTTACACACCGGCAAAAAACATACAAATCAGAAGAGAGAATCTGTAAGCATTTTTAATACTCCTACCGTGGCTTCACTGAATTTTGAAATACAAGCTTGACTTACTTGGAGAGGAATGTACAACAAACTAAAGATACTGAAACACATTTCTGTGTCTTTCCAAACTAAATCCACCAAAATAAACTTGGGAGTTAAAAATGCATATCTCTCTCACCTGATTTTGTCCTGATGGAAATGTGCAAGACAGATGAAATTTCTGAAACTCCTTCCTCATGCCTTCTACTGTTCTTCATTTCTAAAGAGATTTTTTTTTTTTTTTTTTTTTGGCTTGATACATCCTCTCCTTAGGGAAAAATCTAATTAACAGTAAACACATCCAGTGCCTGGGCTCTAGTCCACATACATCTAAGAGTATGTTTGAAATAGGATCTGTGTTACTGAATTTCTCATTCTATAAAAGCAAAGCGGGAAAAAGAACTGTTTTCGAAATGACTCTTTTGAACCCTGTTATCAAATCTTTTTTAGCAGCTCCCTTTTTACAGCAACACTGCCACCTGCTGGTACTTTCGATAATGCAGTTAAAAACTGTAAAAGCTGCGAGCTTCTTGTACCACCTGTGCAAAGTTATTCTTCCCGTAGTGTGTTTTAAAAGCAATATAGGAAAATTTACACATGACTTTGGTATTGGCATAGATTTTTCAGTAGAATGCAACCATAAAAGAAAATATTAATAAGTCACAGTTCATAATTTCATCTGTTCATAAAAACACCTCACAGTGAAAAAGATAAGCCAGAGACTGGGAGAAGGTATTTCTAAAACATAAGCAAAAAAGAATTCCTACCCAAAATACAAATAGGGCAGTTAGAAAATACATATATTCCTATCCTAAGGGCAAAAAAATTAAATAGGGTACTCAGTCATAAAAGAGAATGCCTAAATGGCCACTAAACTTACGAAAATTGGGTCAAAATAAGTAGTGAGTAAGGAAATGCACCTTTAACAATGAGATACTACTGTGCACTCACTCAATTGGCTAAAATTTTTTAATGACAACACTAGTTTTAGGAAATGATAATAACCTTTAAAATTTTATTGACTTATGGGTATGTCCTCCCACCCTTCTTGAATTCATTTCTTTTTTTTAAAACTGGTGGCCAGGGAATTAGCTCAGTGGTTCCGCCATCTGCCTTGTAAGCTCAGGGTCCCAAGTTTGATCCTTGGCACCAAACAAAAAAGTGCATATTTGCAGTACATCGTGATTACATTCATCGTGGGGAGTCAGTGCATGTGCATAACACAGTGTGATTCTTTTCTTAGCCCTTTCCCTGCTTATCCTCCAACCACCTCTTATTTTCCTAAAATTGCTGCGTTATTAAAACTTGAAAAGTAACTAAATATGTAAATGTCCTAACCTGATTAAATAAGATTTATATTTTAAAAACTAAACTAAAATTAACAAATGTCATGTCTATCTTTCACATAAAAGAAAATATGTAATAAAATAATAACTAACAATAACGCTGGCAAGGCTGTGAGGGAAAAGGAATCCTTATACATTGTTGGTGGGAAAGTAAACTAATGAAAGAACAAAATAAAAGATAACAGAAAACTGGGAGGTGGATCTTTGATAAATGGTAAGGAGAATGGTAAGAGAAAGGAGACTAAGGGGAATAAGATGTAAAAAGAAACAAGATGTGTCATGTACACATATCAACTACCCATAATTAGTATATTTATGGTTTACTGCAAACGTGTACTAATAAAAAAATCTTCCCTCTTTCATCCAGGAGGAAGAGGGAAGGGAAAGAAGGGTTAGGAGATTTAAAAAGGATCAAAATGTGTTATATACATGTACCAATTTCCCAAGATGAAAACAATAGCTATAAACGGCAAACAAGTACTACCAAAAATAAAAATTTTTTAAATAAACTACAAGTGATAAGTTTTAAAAATGAGAACGCCAAATGTTGGTAAGGGTAGAGTATGGAGCAGCTGGAATTCTGGCGCACTGAGATGGGAGTACAAGCTCCTTGGACCTGAACATCATCTACGACATCTGACTGTGTGCAGATCTAATGGCCTAGCGAGGCTGCAAGTCCACACACCCAGCATACATTAAAGCATCCTGCGCACTAACGCTCACCTAAAGATACGGACAAATGTTCGTAACACTCATTTGTAAGAGCTAAAAAGCAGGAATGCTGAAAATGAAGCACAGGTAAATCAGCCGTGGGAAAGCCCTGCAATGCAGCTGACCTCCCAACATGAATGAGCCGAACACACGAAGCACTGAGGTGAAATCTCAGGAGTAACAAGGACTGGAAGAAGGCAGACAGCGTCTGACTACATTTATATAAATTGGTCAAAAGTAGACAAAATAAATCAAGCTATCGATCTGTGAGCTGTGCATTGTTCTATGTGTGTCAAAAAGTTGAGAAGTATGCTTTTAAGAAATTAAAGAGGACCTGAGTTCAATCCCCGGTGCCAAAAAAAAAAAAGAAAAGAAAAAGAAATTAAAGAGGACCATATTTAACTTAAATAAATTGCTAATGGCAGAACTTTTTATTATAACATAATATCTATAGAACAAGAGAAATAATTGAGTCACCTATTACACCCTGAAATCACTGTTCCAGTCCACTTAAACTAATGAGATCCTGAATCCCCATTACTTTTCATGCAGTATTATTGTATCATCATTTTTAGTTTTGTTTTGGGTACCAGGGATCATACTCAGGCCCTTGCACTTGTAAGGCAGGTGCTGGAACCACTGAGCTAAATCCCTGGCCCTCTTTTTTTGTTGTTGCTTTTTGGGGTTTTTCTGGGGGGGGTTGTTTTTTGTACCAGGGATTGAACTCAGGTCCCTGCATTTGCGAGGCAGGTGGTGGCCCCACTGAGCTAAATCCCCAGCTTTATCATCATTTTTTTAAGTGTAATCTGAGTCCCACCAATAAGAGAAACTTAAGGAAACAACATATCACCAAAGTAAAACAAGAATCCTTAGGTCTCACTTGTTCTCGGGTTTGCAAACAGCACATTTTTAGGAGTAGCTCAAATCAGCCTTAGCACATTCTATTTAAAAAAAAAAGCATAGAGACATTTTTTAGCATCTCTTTTTGGTAGGTTCTTTTACAGAATAGTCATTTCCCAACTACTCTGTAACAAGAATACAATAGCTCAAATATCTGAGTAAAAAGGTTTGTAGTTTCTTAAAAGAGGTAATTAAGCCTGTTGATAATGTATAGTGAAATGAAACATTTCTATACAAACTCTAAATTGTCCTTAGGAGATGCGTTGCATAAACATCTCCACCAGGACATTTAAACTTTGTATCTAGACAGACATTTCTAGAAGAGCAGAGGATTGAAAGCATCAGTGTGGGTGTTCTTTACCGGATTTGCTGTCTTAGTGGAGCACATGTGCATACTTTACCATAGCTAAAGCCAGCTGTGGCTGGTAAACAACCGCCAATCAGCCCAACTGGGTAGCGAAGACGTGTCATGAGACCTAAGGAGAAAAGGAAGCCAGCACTTCAAGGCTTGTTACTAACATAGATGGAAGAACCAAAAGTACTAAGAGACAGTACCAATGTTCAAACAGTTAGGCATAATAATTTATCATGGAGTCTAATCTGGTTGCTTATTTTTCCACCTGGATACATTTCTTATAAAACAATATAAGCATCATACACATTTCAAAGACTCCAAGAAAGCATAAAGAAGACAACACCATCTCTCACATAATTTTTTTTTTTTTTTGAGACAGGGTCTCTCTGTGCATTTCAGGCTGGCCTCGAACTCATGGCCATCCTCCTGCCTCGGCCTCCTGAGTACTGGGATTACAGGCGTGCACCACCATATTCTGCTCATCTAATACATTTTACAAGAATATAAATATTCTGTTATTTTTATACTAAACATGTAATTTATATATACCAGTGATTATAAGTAAACCTTAGATTATTTCCAAGATTTTGCTGTGATAAAATATGCTGTATGTCCTTGATCATAACATTTACATGTACCTCTCAAGTGATCACCTCTTAAAACGAGATTTCCCTTTCACATGGTATACAGAAAAGATATATTAACTTACTTGCCCACCAAATTGACCACCCTGAGAGTACTTATTTTTTAAGTAGCATAGTAGACAAAATAAGATGAGGTCAATGTGTGGAATTCTAGACAATCAATCTAGTTCAATAAGCATTTATTGTTTATTTCTTCAGCACTTATTCACTGAGAGCCTGGTCTGAGCCATCTACTCTCTAGACATCAGAGGAGGGGACTAACGGGCCCTGCCTTTACAGATCTTACATTCTAGCTGGGGGTGGGGTAAACACACCAATACATGAGAAAAAGCAGATGAATGCAAAGCACAAAATACAGTGACATTAGAGTGGATGCTCAGGGAAGCCTTTGTGACAAGATAACGGCTATGATGACATTTATTGACAAGAAGCCAACTCACAAAGAGCCTTCCAGACCAATGGAACATCTTGTGCAGAGGCCAGAAGACAGAAACAAGCTCGGCCAGTAGAAGAAAAGAATGACATAGGCATTAAGTGACTTTTATACACCTAATGCAATTCTGAGTAGATTCCAAAGAGCCCAGTAGATGTAAAGTAAGAGGAGGACTCTGCCTAGGCGAAGCTCTAACTCCATGAAGGATGACAAGAAGCAGAGGTCATTCTGATGTAAAAGCAATATAAAAGAGGCCTGTGCTGGAGACACACACAAAGCACACTGGACCACAGAGAAAGAGCTCTGAGTACACTGCTAGATGCAAAGTCTTCTGGGAGGAAGTGACGCCTGTCAGGAATCTGACCAGTGAGGTGAACACAAGGAGAAATGAAAAAGGAGCCAATAGGTGGAGGAAACAGCATGGGATGATACTGACAGGCGTGAAGTGTGACAGTGAGTACCTGAACAAAAAGCAGGAAGTAGGAAGAAGCAAAAAATGATACTCGAGAAATAGGTCGTATTCTGGTTATGATGGACCTTGTAAGCCATGCTAGGAAGCATTACATTTTCCTGCAGGTAAGAGAGCTATCAAAGTTCCCAAGGGAGGGAGTTGTACATTCATACTTATAATTTTGACAAATCACTCTGGAAGTAACACAAAGATGGACTGAGGAGAAATGAACATTAGAGAAAATGATCACGTAGGAGGCTACTGCAATTGTCCACATGAGCAAAGAGTAGGGTAGCACTAGTAGGCTGGGATCCATAAAAGATGCATTTAGGGGGCTGGGGATTTAGCTTAGTGGTGCCACTACCTGCCTCGCAAGAACAAGGTCCTAAGTTCACTGTCTGGTACCCAAAAAAAAAAAGATGCATTTAGGATATGAAATCAATTGCACTTGACAATTTAAGAAATCAAATGTTAAGGAGAGTAGAAACATCTACTTAACTTTTATGCTTCCAGCCCCTTTAATTGGTTTGTTGATGGTATCACAATAAAGAACAGGAAGAAGACTTAGAGGGGGATGATACGTAAGACGAACCATTCTATGTCATTACTGAAGTTCATCGCCCAGTGATTCTGGTATCCGTGTTCACCTATTTGAATTATGCAGAGAAGTAGAGATTAAAAAGAAAAGCGATCAAAGATCACTGCAGAATAGTTATGTTTAAGGGAAGAATAGAAAGACTAACTGGGAAGACCAGTAAGGAATTATCTGACTTTGAATAAACCAAGAAAGGGTAATGTTAAAACATCTAGAAAGAACAGAAGTTTGAGGGATGGCACTGCCCAACATGCAAGCCCAGGAAAACCACACTGTCTGTGCCCACATGGGGGCCATTGGTTCAACATAGAACCATGGGGGTAGAAGCCAGATTTCAGATTCTTAAAAAGCAAATGGAAAATGAGGAATTATGGACCTATTTTTCCCAGTATGACTCAAAAGAGCAATGTCTAAACAGAGAAAGGCTCAAGAGAACATCTTGTTTTTTTGTTTGTTTTTTTTTTAATAGGAAAGTCTTAAGTGTGTATTGGCTGAAGGGCTGGAGAAAATGCTCGGAAGCAATGAAAGAGCTACAGGACAGCAAAGGACTCTGGGTGGCAGGTGGTCCCAACAGGAGACCAGTGATGGGAACCAGCGCAAGGGTGTGGCCCAAGGAGAAAAGAGTGGAAGCTCATGCCTGGGGGCTTCTATTTCCTCACTGAAGTAAGCAGCAAGGTGATTTGCTGATGGTTCGGTGCTTAATATTGGGAAACAAGTCTTTAGGAGAATGGTAAAGGCACAGAGCACAGAAAAGTACATTTCCCAGTGAGTCTGAAGAAAGTTGAGTCTAGTTGAGTCTCTATGTAACACATGATCCAAATAAAGAATATAAAAAGATTTCTTTCAGAATTTAACACTTTCTGCCTCCTCCAGAGTTTTTATTTGCCAAATGTCTTTATCCTGGAAATTATAACAAATGGATTAGTGATGATCTGCCTCTCTGTGACAGAAAGAAATCTGCTCCTTTCTTTGTATTGGCTTTATTTCTGGTAAACATGAATTGTCGTGATTCAAATCACCAGAGATGAAAAAGGAGACGAGACAGTCATGGATTCCAATTCATGATCTCTTCTAAAACTGGGCCCTCCAAATGCATGGTTTGCCTCTTTCTGGACAATACGATAGCAGTTGAGTGCAGAGTCTGGAATTAATGCTTCCAGTGGCTGCCAAGATTTCTGAGGGTTCAAATCTCAGAACAGATACTTATTAACTAGGTGGATAACAAGTTGCCTTGTTACCTGTACCTCAGGTTTCGCATCTGTAGAACAGAGCTATCATTAGCACCTACCTCGTAGTTTTGCTCTGAAAATTAAATACACATTAAAAACACTCAGAACAGAGTCTGGCCCAAAGTAAATCATTAATATTTGTTCTGGATTTTTTCTTTCTTAACTATAATGGTACATAAGATCCTAGTGATATAATTGACAATGTGAAATAGGGTGAAAAGGGCTAAAGATGTAGGGGAAATGGGAAGGGTAGGGAAAGGTAATAAGGGAAAAGAAAAAAAAATGAGAAAATGAAAAAATGGAAATAAAATATTTGTAAATAGGGAGGGTGGAGGGGGTGAAGGGAGGTCAGGGACAAGGGGAAAAAATGAGAACCAAGACCTGTCATGTAAAGGTACAAGATCCCAAAGATGAATGTAACTGTATTGTATACCTAAAATGTAGCAATAAACTCAATGAGGAAAAAATTAAAAATAAAATTTTTCTTTCTTCTTATTTGGTTGGTACCAGGGATTAAACTTAGGACCTTGCACTTTCAAGGCAGGTCCTGAGCTAAATCTCCAGCCCAGATCATTAATAAATATCAGTTATTTGGGATTCCATGACTTTCCTCTTATCTTTATTATCCTTCTTTCTTGTTTACTTACTTCTATTTTCTTTCCTCTGTGATAAATAGCATTGTGATTATACATTTTCAACTTCGGTTTTTACTTTTTCCTTTCTTGATCCTGTTTTTCTAAAGTTATCTTTATGCTATTTTATAGATTGTAAGACTAATATATGTGCATTACAATAAAAACAAATCCTAAAGCTCTCTATAAAGTAGAAAATACACGTCCCTTACTTCTACTTTCAGTTCCCAGAGATAAATATTAACAATTTACAGTCCATTATTTATTTGTTTAAAAATTATAGTCTGTTATTTTATTTATTTAAAAATTATTACCTGAACTTTAACAGGGTTTGTCTGTGCACATAGAAATATATAGACACTCCTCTGAACTTTGTTTAATTTAATAATCTATCATTCACATCTTTTGATGTTGGTAGATCCTACCTTTCTTTTTAACCTCACTCCATAATCACTCTTTCTTAACATTGTTCTTTGAAACAAAGAGAAGGATGCAGAGAAGAAAACTCAGAACTGGTCCCTTCACTAGAAGGGTTCCTATCTGCAGCCACAACAGCAGCCTCCTGGACACCCCCTTCTCCAGCCACACTTGAAGTGACATGCGGAGTACCCATGTGAGCTCTTCCCTTAAGGATTTATTTCTGATATTGAGAGCCAGCTCAGTGGAAAAGGGGATTTTTTGTTGCTGGTGTTGCTACAACTTTTCATGAGTGAATTTTTTAAAAACTACTACCTGACAAGAAGTCAAGAAATATGAAAGGGTACAGTGTGTTCCCAAGGCTGTAATGAAGAGGGAAGAAGATTCTCCGGGTGCAGAGTGGTACAGTACAGGCTGGGCGAGGGCTGGAGGATAGAAATGTGACCATAAGTGCGGTGGACTTTTATGGGATCTTGTCTTTCTGCAGATGACAGATGTGCAAAAATAGCAATTATGGCAAACAACAGCTGAAGACAGGGGTCAAATACTCCTTTGTCATATAATAGGCCAAAATGTAACTATGCAAGACTGAGCTTTGCATAACTTTTTCTGTTCTCCAAACAAGAAAGAGCAGAGTATGAGAGATTTAATGGACTTTTCTATTGCAATTGTCTAAAATAGAGAGCAGATTTATAGGGGACAAAAGAGAAGGAGACATCATTACTTAGTGCATTGAAAATCCTGTTATATTTGGCCCTACTTAAGTTTCCAGAGCAAATGCATAATGACTAAATGGCCCATTGCTTCGTTGTCATCTATTGCTTTCCTAACCTAGGAGAAATAAAAAATCAACTTACCTCTTATCCTCTGGCTAGAAAAACAAAGAGGAAAACAACTGCTGAGAAAACAGATTGTACTTCAAATTCTTAAGCTATTTCTACCGGGAGCTTTATTCCTATTGCGGTTCTGACATCGGTATGCATCGCCTGCCAGGGACCTCACTTCTGGTCTTCCCCACCTGAGGCTCCTCACTTACCAGCCGCGTTGTGTTGGTGGTACCAGATCAGCTCCGGCACTGTTGGAAAGAGGTGTCTTTCAGCCACATACAACTGTCCTGAGTCATCCCTTTTAATCTGGTAATGTTTTATTGTAGCCTCTGTACTTCTATAATCAATAAGATGTGAATTAGCAAGCAAGCAAAACGTCTCTTTAAAACTCACCCACCCAATCCGGAAGCAAGAGAGCTCCAATTCTCAAATTCTCACCCCAGCCACACTGCACAGTGAAGAGAGGATTGACCAGTCCAGTAGGTGCCTGATCATCCCAGAAAAAAATCCTCAGTTATTTTACTGAACACTCAGATCAAATAGAACTCCAGCCCAAGTTTGTCTTGGTGACAGGGTGGAACTCTTCATGGAATATTTATGCATCAAATATCAAGTATTGGATAAATAAATCAGCAAGGGCACTATGAAAAATCAGAAATGTGAGACAAGGAAGGCAGGAAACCCAACATAGGCACACTAATGAGCAGCTTACTATACAGTGAGCAACTGGGACTCAGTCCTTCGAGGCATGTGTGAGGGACAGGGGACACAATTCAGAGCTGGCTCACTGACGTGCAAAAACGTCGATGTGCTTAGCCCCAGATCCCTTCCCTACTGTCAGCCACTTCCAGCCTGGCCACCCCACCCACAGGCTCCCACCGCCAGAGTCCACCCTCAGGCAGAAAGACATAGGAGTTTTCAGAGTACAGGAGACCCCTCTGCGGTCAACCCCGAGTAGAAGGGAAAGGGGCCAGAAGAACACGCCAACAGTGTCTACCACAACTAACCTAGCTCCCTCACTTGATGGTTGAGGAAGAGGAAAACGAAAGGGGATAAAGAATTTATCCAGCGTCCCACAGAGTACATTAGGGATACAATATGGACTAGCGAATTGTCCTGACTTCCAGGCCAGCAACTTCTCCCTCACCTAAACTCTCATTATACTCCACGTGATGACATCACCATAAAAAAATTGTTCTAGCCATCACTTCTGAAGCAACTGAAGTCACAATTACTTACCTCCTAGCTCTTATAAATACAGAAATTGTGTAGGATCCCAGATGTCTTGAATCTCTGACAATAAATGCACCTTCTTTATTCTATAAAACAATGTATTTATTGTATAAGTCATAGAAAGACAAACCTGTCTCTTGGTGACAAAACTAAAGCTATCCTAATTTACTATAAGTGATTCACCTTAAAATGAATAACTTATGATATCCTTACTAGAAAGGATGAAATTATTTTTATAAATATAGTGCACACAATTTAATTTTCCTTATAGGTCTAGAAATCATATGTCTAAAAGAAATGCAACCTGGCCATGAATTGATAAAGTATAATATTTTAAGATATCGCCCCTGGTTTTCCTAGGAAAATGTCTGCATTTGATAAATGTGTACCCTACCACTAAGTTATTTTTGTTACATTGGTCAGGATAAGATAAAAATAACTGGTTGAGCATGGTGACAAGTGTGACGCTGAGCAACTGGATACTTCTGAATATTTGGGGAGACTCTGATTAAGCTGTAAATTGCTTTCAAGTAATTGTGAATGTCAGACTGTTTTGTGTGTTTGATTCTGTAAAAATGTTGAGCTTCCCTGAGTATGCTCAGGCTTCTGAAGAGAGAAAACTCTCCGAATCTTGCCAAACCCATCAAATTTTACACTTAGTACAAAAGCATTTAGGCTGTGCGGGACCCCAACAGGGGGTCGTCAGTTCCCAGAGTTGCACCGAGGCAGAGAGCAGAGAGCGCCTCTTCCCCTCCCACGCTCTTAACAATGCACAAAGTCATATCCGGGTGCAACTCTTTAACCCGGAGAATCTGTTACGTGCATTTGAATTGGTAAAGTATAGCTTTTACTGAATGCCTACAGTGTATACAGGGGTTGTATTACATTTCAGAGAGGGCAAGATACAAAAAACAAAGATGTAAAAAATAGAGTCGCATATATGGTTTATATGTATGGGATATATGTATCAGTATTTATAATATGCATATAATAAAATTGTATATGTAGTGGTCGCCCCTTATAAAGCTTCAAAGTACAAAAAACTATAAATGATATGTCCTGACCACAAAAGAGTATGAATAAAAATTCACAACAAAGTTCAACATAAAATGCCCCTGATATAACACCTGTAGATTTTTCATTCTTCTTTATATAACTCAAGGAAATTAAACATATCTAGAAAATAATAAGCAAACATCACATATCAGAACTCTGCTATACAATCCAAGCAGTACTCAGAAATAAATTCATGGCCTCATTATTTGTATCAATAAACAACAGAAAAAAAATAAGTATATCTAACTCAATAGGTTAGGGTAAGAATTATAAAATAAGCCCAAATCGAAGGAAACAAATAAAATCAAAGCACAAAATAATAAATTACAAAAACAAAAATATGATACAAGTTGTAATTAACTTCAAAATCTAATTGTTTAGGGAAAGGTAAAAATCAGCTAACTAACCTAACCAACAAATAGTGGTGAAAAATCAATCAAAAACAATAAACCACAAGGCAACAATAGTGAAGGATCCAGAAAAAACATTGTTTACTTGACTCTATACAATAAATTTGAAAACTTGAATTAAATGGATCACCAAATCACCAAAACATAAAATTTAATCCAGAAGAACTAAAAATCTTTACAGACCTAATGAATAAAAACATGAATCCAGTTTATAAAGGGCTACAAGGTGAAAGAGCACCATAGTTGTACATTGTGATGCACTAAACCTTAAAAAAAGAAACAGTATCAAGACTGAGTTATTTCAGAGCATATGCAAAAGATAAATGCTTCTATGGAGGAAGGAGGGGGTGAGCAGAGGTCAGGGACAAGGGGAAAAAATGAGAACCAAGAAATGTAAAGGTACAAGATCCCAGTGATGAATGTAACTGTACTGTATACCTAAAATGTACCACTAAACTCAGTGAGGAAAGAAACAAACAAAAAGATAAATGCTTCTAAATTTATGTATAAACAACATCAATACCAACACAGTCAAGACTGCATAGAAAACTACAGACTACCTCACCTATATCAACACAAATATTCTAAATAAAATATTATCAAGTAGAATCCAGTAGCACAAAACAATAATACATCATGACAAGGAATTGGATACAAAAACACATGAAATTGGAAATCTCTTTAAATAATTCATCGTGTTAATAGATCTGAGGAGAAAACTCACAAGAGCATCTCTAGAGATGTTGAAAGGAATTTGACAAATGCGACTTCTAGTATCAATTTTCAAAAATTATCAGTAAAATAGGAACATATGGGTACTTCCTTAACACTATTGCACTTATTTATTTTAGTCTCAAGTCCAGTATCATGCCTTATGTAAAAATCATTTCAAATAAAGACAAGATAAAAGGAATAATGCTCTCTATCAGCACTAGTATTTAATACTATTTTGTGAACAATAGCCAATACAATTAAGGGGCAAAAATTAAAGCATAGATTAAAATTATAAAGAGGAGTTGAAATTATTAGTTGACTAATGGTAAGATTATATATCTGAAACTCAAGAGAAGCAACTGAAAGCAACTTCAAAAAAAGTGAGAATTCACCAGTCATCAGTTACAGCTTAATACACAACATTTCAAAAGTTTTCATAAATAAAGACAAAAAGATATATTCATTTAAAATAGCAATACAAAATACAAAATAACCTTAAAATAAGCTAAAAAATAAATGGACGAAAGTCATATGAGGAAATGCTCCTGAAGGATACAAGTTTGCGTTTTCTCATTAGGAATTTGATTCATATGAGATTACTCTTCCTGAAATAGGGATCTAATTTTGCTTTGCTCTATATGAATAATAAGTAGATCCCAGAATAAAATGATTCCCTAACCCCACTGATTTGTAGTATCTGAAAAAAAAAATTCTCTAAATCAATCTGTACATTTAATGCAACCATCAGGGATGTTTTTTAAATAAGCAAGGTGATTCTTATGAACAAAGTCACATGTAACTAGACTGTTTCTGAAAAAGAAGACTAATGAGGGAGACTAGGCACAGCAGAGATAGCCTAAGTGTTTACAAGAGAGCAGCAGCAGCACGTGATCAGACAGACTGACCAATGAGACCAAACAGAAAGTCCAGATGTAATCCAAAATATATATTGTGCTTATGATGAAAGTGGCAAATCAACACAGAAAAGATAGGCATTCGCTAGCCATCTGGAACAAAATAAAGTGAGATCCATACTTCCCTAATTATGTCAGGAAAAATCATGAATGGATCAATTCTATAAATGTATTGAAAGAAATATTAAAGAAATCAAGAAATATAAGTATTTTTATAACCCTGGAGTGGGGAAAACAATTCTAACAAAAATCTTCAACTCTTACAATAATCCTTCCATTAAAATCAGACCTATGAAACTCAAATACTATTCATGCAAAAAAAAACAATAAAAAATTGAAAAAAGAAATACTGCCACATATCACAAAGGATTAATTTCCTTAACATAGCTACCTAGGTACTAGGTAGAAAAACATCAAAAACCCAATAGAGAATTATGGAAAGGATATGAACAGCCCCTTTGCAGAAAAGGGAATACAAATATACAAAAATTTAACATGTGAAAATGTTCAACATCCCCAGAATAAGAAAAATGCACATTAAATCTATACTATGATGAGGTGTAAAGATACAGATGTCTCATATAAAATGCTGGCTGGAAAGCTTGAGAAAAAAGAGGTACTCTAGCGATACAACTTCTACAGAGAACATTTTAATATCTGTGAAAATTAGAAATGGGCATTGCCTTTGACCTAGAGTTTCCACCTTTGGCGATCTACCCCACAAATGCACTCACAGAAATGGGAAAAGATGTGTGTACAGGTTACTAATGACAGCATTGTTTTAAAAGCAAAAAAATGCATATTACTTAATTTCCATAATGAATAACTAGTTTTTAAAATTGTGATACATTCAAGCCAGTTTTTTTTTTCTGATGTGGACTCTCAATATTCAATGCTGAGTAAAAAAATAAGGGTTAGAAGATCTTGCAAAGCATGCTACTGTTTGTGTGAAAATAGTAATGCAAAGATATATATATTTGTACTTGCATATGTATTAAATCCCAGAAAGGACACAAGGAAGAAAACTGGTGGCTTAGGAATGAGTACATAAGAAAACTTCAAAACCTTTATACTTCCAGAAAGAGATGGACTTCTCATACTAAACAAAAAAGTACAGATCATAAAGGAAAATGTTGAGAAATTTTAATACATTAACAGTTTTAAATTTGGTATCTTTCCAAAAGAAGTGAAAGAATCATACCACAGTGATATATGCGCACCCATGTTTATAGTGGCACGGCTTGTAATAGCTAAAACCTGGAAACAGCCCATCTTCCCATCAATTGGAAACTGGATAAAGAAGATGTGGTTTGTCTACAAAATGGAATAGTACTCAGCCATAAAGAATGAGAAAGTAGATTCATTCATAGTTAAATGGGTACATTTTGAGGATATACTTCTTAGTGAAATAAATAAGGAACACGTTTGCAAATACCAAATAGTATCTCTGGTGTGAAAAACTAAAATAGTACTCAAGATCCTAATGGGACACTTAGCAAATAGGAAGAAAAGGACCAAAGGTGTAGGGACAGTGAGAAGGATAGGAAAGGGGGAATAAGGGAAAAGGAAAAAAATATCAGAAAATGTATAAATGGAATTAAAGTGTTTGAAGGGGGGAGGGGAGGAGAGGGTGAAAAGAGGATGGGGACAAGGGGAAAAAATGAGAACCAAGACCTGGCATGCAAAGGTACAAGATCCCAGTTATGAATGCAACTGTACTGTCTACCTAGAATGCACCAATAAACTCAATTAAAAATAAATAAATAAATAAAATAATTGAAATGCACTTATGCATGGAATTTCTGTTTTCTAGAAATTATTATAGAATGGGAAGTCACGTGAATTTAACTGGAATGTTTTCAGTGAATACGTGGTAGAGGTGACCTTTATTACCTTTTAAAAGTTTATAAATTACATGTATGAAAATCCATTCCAGTGTACTGCATTAAACTAAAAAATAAATTATGATAATCTCTAAAAAATAAAAAAGTAAATAAACTCAGTGTAAGAAAAGAAAATTGCTAAAGGTTTTTTTAAAAAGCTGGAAATCATCCAGGTGTGGCGGTGCATGCCTGTAATTCCCAGCGTTTGGAAGGCTGAAGCAGGAGGACTGCCAAGCGTTTGAGACCAGACTGGGCTACATAGTAAGTTCAGGGCCAGCCTGAACTACATAGCCAATAGCTGTATGAAAATCTACTCAGTCCCACTGGTAATCAAGGAAATTGACATCTTTTCAAGTAAATACAATTTCTGGGATAGGGGTATGGCTCAGCAATAGAATGCTTGCTTAGTACATGTGAGGTCCTATGTTTGATCTCTAGCTCCACACAATAAGTAAATAAATAAAACATATACAATTTCTTACCCGATGAATCAGAAAAAGAAAAGCATGAAACTACCAACGACTGGCAAGAGTGTAGGGAGCTAGTTTATCTCATTCCCTATAAGACTGCAAATTAGCACAACTACTCTGAATCATTCCTAGAAAATATCTAATGATATTAATCTGTACATATCCTATGACCAAATAATCCCCTTTCTCTCTTGTGTGCAGGATGACATCTAAAAGGAAGTGTCTTGCTACCCTGTTTGTAATGGTTAAGAAGTTAGAAGCTATCTGAATGTTTCTGAATATTGTATATATATTTATGTATTCGTATAACAATGAAATATTTTACAGTTAATATATATGATCTATGTATATCTATAGAAATGAATTTTGAAAACAAAGTTTAACAAAAACTACATACGATCTCTTTTATGAATGGCAAACATTACATGTTGTTTACTCACGTATATAGGAGGTAAAAATGTAAACACATAAACAAAATGAGAGCATGTCCATCTACTGTGATTGTCTCTGGAGAGTGGAGAACAAAAGAGATGACGGAATGGGTTTCACCTATATCCATAGTGTTTTGTTTCTTTATAAACATTGTGGCAAAAGTTAATACTTGTTACTAAATATTAATGTAGAAATTTGTCTCATAATTCTCTGTTCTAGGCTCTGTAGCGAAATGAGAACTTTGTCTTGTCTGACTTTTTTCTAGATGCAGAGGCTCACTGAGTGTGCAGAGTTGCATGATTTGGGCCATCGCACCTGTGCCGACCTGCTCTCTGCAGACTGGGACTTTCTTTCCCTGGTGCTGCCTGCCATAACAGCTCAATTCTGCATATCAGATTCGCCAGTGCTACTCCACAGAGGGCTGCCTGTGAGCCCACACCAGGCAAATACTGGAAAGGCTGCCACACTCAATTTCCTGCTAGCAAGTAGGGTGAGGCCTTGTACCTCCACCCTATCATCACCTGAGGCTGGGTCTTTCTCCTGGATCCTCTGTAAGCTCCCTCCATGAACTGGGTTTGCTCTGCACCTTAAGCCTTACTAGCATTAAATTTTTAGTTACAAAACTGATTCTTTCCCAATCACCACTCTAGATTTCCTCAACATCCAACAATGGTACATAACATAATTCCTCCTACCTAGTTTCTAGTGTTGACTCTACATTTCCCCCAAAGTTAATATTTACTGACAGTTGGAAATTCAAACTGTATGCACTTTTGGTTTGACCTGAATGAATAGTTTTGATCTGAGTTCAATATCCTGGCTAATGTGGTCTCCCCTTTGTTTCTAAAGAATAAAGAAACTAAAAGCACCATGCACTTTTCTGTATTTGTATTTGTGTCTAAGCTGAGTTCATGAGGTTAAAGAGTCTATGGATTCGTTTTTGTTTTTTTTTTGTTTTTGTTTTTTTTTTCCTGGTACAGGGGATTGAACTCGGGACCTTCCGCTTTTGAGGCAAGCAGCGGAAACACTGAGCTAAATCCCCGGACCTATTGATTACCTTTGATACAAAGTTTATACAGGCAACTCAGATGTGAACTCTATGGGCAAACTGCATGTTTTAATGAAGCAATCTCAGTATGTTGATGCTGAAATTATTTCAGAAGAAATTTCTGAAATTATGATGAAAACCACTGGAAAATGTGATCTGATACAAACATATCTGACTTATAACTTATCAGAAAATATGTAATGGGAATAAAGTTGTGATGATATTTTTAAATTAGAAAGAATAATTAAGAAGTAATGCACCATTTTGCTTTGTTAAAGTCTTCATAATGTACTCAGAAATTTTGAAGATATTCATAGATTTATTCACAAATAATTGAAATACCTCTTGTCTTAATAGACGTTCTGCTTGATTTCTGGTAATATTTCTATGGTACCACCTGTGAAACAACATAAATAATTTTTAATTTTTTTATTTAATACTTTCAGAAAAAAACTTTTCTTTAAAGGTCTTTAAAAATTATTTTAGAAAGTTATGACTTTTTAAAATGCAGATAAATCATGATGTATTATTATGGGTCAATTCATCAAGTTTAATGCAATTTTACTAACTTCAAGCCAACATTTAGTTACTTTTATCATACTTCATTTAATTTTCTAACACAAACGGCACCTGTAGATAATTTTGAATGATTTCATATCTTGTAAAATTCCATAAAAAGTAATTAAAAACTCAAATTAAGAAAACAAATGCTGGACTTAGGCAGACAAACTTAAAAATAGCTATTTCTTGGGCCAGGGATTTAGTGCAGTGGTACCACACCTGCCCTACAAGCTCAAGGTCCTGAGTTCAATCCAAAATAAATACATTCTAACTTTTCTGACTCTCCTAACTACATTACCTCCAGAATGTTAGCAATTAGTAGAGAACACAGAACAACCAGGACATCCTCCTGTCCTGAACACACGCCCACCTTTCTTCCGGCCTCGCTCTTTCCTCACCCTGTGAGCTGAGGCCACACTGGGACTCTTTTCTCACTCAAATGCATTGAACCTTACCTGTCTTTGCTCATTGTTTCTCCTACATTAAACATATCATTAAATGACTAGAATATCAGAACTACCACTGTACACATATCTAAGCAACAGGATAAGGAAAACATAATTTGATACCTAGTCAGTAACAAAATTAGACAGAAAAGAGGAAAATGATAAAAAGGAGAGATAGAAAAATTGAAAAAGCTTCATTTCAAAACAAGACTTGTACTGAGGATTTTTAAACTTAAATACTGCCTGAAATTCTCTTTTCTGTGAAGAATGAGGACGTGACAATGCATTGAGTCACCATGGGTGGACCAGATGGCTGAATCTCCTCTACCGCTGGAGTCTGGAATTCATCTCCACAGGTGCTCTTGGCCTGACCTCCAGTAGTGGAAAGTTGCCACTAAATTAGAACAGTCAGATATCTAGAATACTGATGTCATCAAACTGAAAGTGAACTTCTCAAAACATGAGCCACCAAGAATACGAGGTGATGGGTGATCGCAGATGATTCTAGGCGAAGTAAATCGACCACTCACCACTCGGGGGAACAAGAATAACCATAGTGTTCCATGGTGAACAGCATTCAAGACCTTTTAATGAGTAGTAACTCTGCAGGAAAGAATTTTAAGAGGAGTTTGAGATCTCTTGCTGCAGAAAGAGAAATTCCTTCAAAATAAATGAGGCAGTGTTAAAGACATAGGAATCAGCTTAAAGGGATCCTCAATGGTTAGGTGGTGAAATTGAAATTTTAAAGGAGAATGAAGATGATAATTCACTAAAATAAACTGAATCTGTGAAAACACAAGACTACTAAAAGATACTCAGAAAAATTTAAAGGATAGTGTATTTTTTAAATGTATTTCACCTGTTGCGTTGATGTTAATTTTGTCACTTTGTATTTATTTATTATGATGCTAAATAACATAAGTACATATGCTAATTTTGTTTAAATATAAATTAGAATTTCACCTACATGTGGATGTCATTAGAATGATTTTTAGGTGGTAACCAAATTGCAGAGAGAAATAAGTGACAAACTCAGGATTCTTTAAAATAATGCAGATTTCTGTTAGGCAGTAAACAGATTCAATAAATGTAATTTAAGGGAAGTTAGGAGTATGGTACTTCAAATTTCATTTATTTAAATCAGATGCCAAACTTTTTTTGTTTGTTTGTTTGTTTGTCTTTTGTACCAGGGATCAAACTCAGGACCTTACCCTTGTGAGGCAGGTGGTGGAACCACTGAGATAAATCCCTTCCCAGACACCAAAACTTTTTAAAGTTTTCTTTTAAAATAGGTAAGGCTATAACTTTTATACCTAGACAGCATTTGTTCTAAAACTAGTATTGGGCCAGGCATGGGGGCGCATGCCTGTAATCCCAGCACTCAGGAGGCTGAGGCAGGAGGATCGCTGTGAGTCCTACGCCAGCCTGGGCTACACAGTGGATTCAAGGCCAGCCTGAACTGCATAGCAAGACCCTGTCTCAAAAGAAACCAAAAAGCAAACAAACAAAAAACCCATTCATATCAAAACTGTGGACATAGGAGTTAGGGTAGGGCTCCTACGCACAAATCTATCATGTCTAGTTATGATTGAGTTGAAACTATGTGTATATTTTGCCCCCAAGTTCCATGCACAATCTCAGATTTCTGACCAGTAACAGCACTGTGCTCTTGAATTTTTTTTTAACCTAGAAACTCTAGTGGCTCAAGGAAGATAAATCTGCTTCCCTTAATAAGTGACTAACTCTGAGAAAATCAAGGGTTCAGTGTAGAGAGGAGATAAATCAGACCCATACTTCTAAAAGTTCAGGATAGTCAATATGCTTGATATCTAAAATGTCTAATTGCAACCATACTCTTAAATGACATAAATAAGACACACGTGTAAATACCGAATAGTTTCTCTGGTGTGAAAAACTAAAAATGTAAATAAGATCCGAATTGTATAACTGATAATGTGAAATAGGAAGAAAGGGCTAAAGGTGCAGGGGAAGTGGGAAGGGCAGGGGAAAGGAAAGAAGAGAAAAGAAAAAATATGAGAAAAGGAAAAAATGGAAACAAAGTCTTTGTAAATAGGGGAGGGAGGAGGGGATAAAGGGAGGGCAGGGGTATGGGGAAAAAATGAGAACCAAGACCTGTCATGTAAAGGTACAAGAACCCAATGATGAGTGTAACTGTATTGTATACTTAAAAAGTACCAATAAACTCAACAATATTCTTATGAAAATAATAAAATGTCTAATTGTAAGAAAATCTATTGTATTTTATTTTTGTCTCTGATTTTGAACACATCATTAATTTTAAACTTGTTATTTGAAACTGAAGAGAATTTGACTTATTTTAAAAACGATATTCACATAGTTTAAAACACTCAGTTTCCCTCTTAACACATTTAATTCATTGGACTGCCAAGATTATTTTAAAGACATACATAGGGCTTATTACAATTGTAAACTTACCATCAAGCATGTGAAATAAAAGATAATTGAATGTATTCAGTTTACTAATGCAAATTGAATGTTTCAAGAAATCTAATTATAGAGCTTATAAAGAGGACTGTTTAAAGACATTTGCTATAAGTGTGAATTAAGATGGTTTTTCTTATTTATTTAGATTTATAAATAAATAAGAAGATTTACACATTGAATTTGAGAGCATGTTGAAAACGAGGTTTTTACATTGTAATGTTGATAACTTAGATATGCGTTTAAAGCAAAAGTAGCCATCCATTTCTGTGTACAAAGGTTCCCCTGAGACATCAAAAGAACACCATTGAGCCAGACCCGCTAGCACCTGCCTGGAATCTCAGTGCTCTGGGAGGCTGAAGCCAGAAGATCACAAGTTCAAGGTCAGCCTGGGCAATGTAGCAAGCAAGACCTTGTCTCCAAATGAAATATAAAAGGAGCTGGAGATGTGTAGGAGGCTGCTGTGGGATGTGTCAAAGCCCAGGTGTCTGGGGATGTTAGGGGCACCTGAGGACACAACTCTGTCATCTAGCACAGGTGCCCTACAGACTTTGTTATAATAAATCAGCATGGGTGACCACGCACCTACCACAGCTATGCAAGGTCAGTCACACGGCGGCTGTCTTATCTGTGTCTCAGAAAAGCTACGAAAGACACGGAGCTCTTGAGCCTGGAGCTACAGCTCCAACTCTCAAGCTCTGATGCTGCCCTGAGGCTGGAAATTAAAGCTGGTTCCTGCTTTTTTGTGATCTCTACTCTATGCACATTCTTTTCTGTGGGAACCTTGGCTGACCTGACCTCCCTTCAGCCCATCAGCTGACAGGATGTAGCTCAATGCTCAACCTCCACTACCACAAACTGTTTTTTAAGTGCACACTGACACCTGATCTTTCCCCTCACCCACCTCACACTCTTCCCATCTTTGGCTCTCATGTGACTTCTGCACAAAGGTCTTTCCCAGCCCAAGGCTCCATCTACACTTTATCCCCTTCCTCAGAGTTTCTCCCAGGGTCCTATACTGTTTAATAATGCACATTACATGTGTTAAGAAATGTAATCAACTCAGCTTATCGAAAGGACTAACAGCTTCGGTATATTTACTCCTACTGTTTCCTTCATAACGCTACAGTTTAGTTACGTAGTTGTTTTTAATGACTATTTCTAAGTTCCGTGAGACAGGGAAGGTTCTGTGTTGCATTTCCAGTGCTTAGAACAACTGACATGATTGTGTACACATCATGAGTGTATGCAATAAGTACACGGCCGAAAATTACAGTGACTCGGTGGGGCAGGGGCTGAAGTAGCAAAGGCCCATTTCACACATATGTGAGCAAGGTGGGCCAGACTGTAAATGCCCAGCTTGTTAGTTTCACAGATCACAGACACAGTAGTAATCACTAGAGCTTAATGAGCACTTACTATGTGCCATATGAGATAGATATGACCGCCTCTACTTGTGAGATCATCAGAAGTCTTGATCACTCAGAAATACTAGGCTACTTTGCCCAGAATCAAAGCTCTAATGAGTGGTGATGCTGGGTTTTAGTAAGTGACTGATAGATTTTAGAGATTAATAATTTTATATCTATATTTTAATAGATCCATTTTTTAAATAATAAAATTTAAAATGAATCTTCCCCAGATTGAAATCACGAAAAAGGATGATTTTCAAAAATCATATAAATCAAGGCCCGAACAAGTGAAATGGCAATTCTAACCCCGGAGTAGCTTAATTCAAATGATCCAGTAGAAACAAGTTGTTACACTCACAGACCGAGCCCACTCTAACCAGGGTAAACAACGAGCAAATTAATGAATAAGGGAAGGAAAGCTCTGGGCGGTGAGCTCCCATCCGCTCACCAGCAGGCGCGCTGTTAGGAGTTATCTCACTCATCTCCTCTAATTGTCTGGGAAATCCCAACTACGATCATGATACGGAAAGAAGGCTCATCTTTCTCATTTTCCTTAGCAGACTTCCACACAAAATCTCTTGTGTCCTGGCCTTTCGTTTCCTGTTGCACGGGTCGCCTTCAGCCACCCCGGCAGGTGGCTTGGGTGACAGTGGGCTGTCAATGGCTCCGCCTCCCAGGCCTGATATACTGGAAACTGGAATCTTGGAGACGGACGAAGGATTCAGGTCAGTTGCAAGGACATGGCAGGGAGTGAAGGCAGGGAGAAGAGAGGAGACCTTGTAACAGACCTTAGCAGCGTGAGCAGGGAGAGAGAGCAGATACAGCTTAAGGAGAAGTCTGGAGGAATCGTGCCTATGTCATCCGCTTTCCTTCAATGCAGTCTATAGTACGCAACCAAGCTTTTGGAACTGGGTCCATTTCAGGGTGAGAGGAACTGAATTTGACTCTCAGGCGGGCTTACACTGATACCAAGGCCAACCAAAATTTTCTCACTCCTTTGTATCCCACTCCTCCCGGCTTTCACAAGCACCCGTCCTAATACTGCAACTCACGTCACCTACTGCCACCTGCTGGAAGGATGTGTTAAGTGCAAAATCTGTACCCAAGAGCAGATGCCCACCCTGGAATTTCAAATTTAAAAACGATTTAGGACTAATCCCAACTCTGCCGCTTTCTCCCTGTAAATTAATCTTTCCATCTGCGCAATGACGATCTCAAAAAATGACTAAGAGCTCTCTTTTCTTCCAAATCTATATTTATAATAAAAACAGATTTCAAGGAAAACTTATCTGTAAATTAATCTTTCCATCTGCGCAATGACGATCTCAAAAAGACTAAGAGCTCTCTTTTCTTCCAAATCTATATTTATAATAAAAACAGATTTCAAGGAAAACTTTAATGAATGCGCCTAATGTTCTTCCAAAGTACAGCGTGAGCCCAGCTCTTGTCTTTTCTAAAACATGAACCAAAATGCTGTGTCTGGATAGTAAGTCCAATTTCTCACTCACTGAAAACCTAATGCTGGGCCAGGGGTTTGGCTCAGTGCTGCCACTGCCTGCCTTGTAAACCCAAGGTCCTGAGTTCAATCCCTGGTGCTAAAAAGAAAAAGAAAAGAAAATCTAATGCCATTTTTTAAAGTAAATGTTCAATTTAGGACTTATAATAAAGCAAGTGTCATGTGAGTGTTTGGCTTCACAATGTCAGTGTTTTTTTTTTAAAAAAAAGAGAGAGGCATACAAAACAAGTTTAAGAAAAAGAAGTTCCTGTATCAACCATGATAAAGATCAGAGCCCTCTTTATTGCAAGAGCTCTCAAATATGCTACTTTCTTTTCCTTTTACGGACTAAAAACAGTATCTACACTTTAAAACTGCCAGAATATACCTGATTTTCATAGGTTAACCACTGTGCATGCTGTGAAGGGGACTTACTCGTATATTTCTAAATTGCTGAGTTTGTTTTCAGTCACATAATTGCTTGGGATTAAGCCTTCATTCCTAGAAAAAAAAAGACAAAGCAAAAATCAAAACATTGGGCATATTTGTGACATTACCATGACAAAGGCTCTTTTAAAAACCCAAAGATACAAGCCAAAATCCAATTCATTTTACTGATTAAATTGTTAAAAGAAGGGAAAAAAGGTTCTTTTTTTCTTCATCTCTACCTCCACAAAAAATTTCTACACGAGAAATACTAAGAGCTTAATTTATAGGTTGAGTAGTTTGACAGATGTTATGACCCCAAAATATTTTCAAAGCAGAAAAAGGGGCACTAAAATGATCATTTGAAGTCAGAGTGAGTGACAAGGTCAAAAGTACCAATTGCAAAAGAAACTGGCTTCAGTTTGCTGCAGCACAGTTCATAGCACAGGTATTCTAATTGCCACTCTCCTGTTATAAGCAGTGTTTTAAAGGAATCCTTAAACACGGGTCCTGGGGCACAAGAAAATTTCTCTAAAGCTGATATCAAGGAGGAGAAGTGCTAAAACACCAAACATGGACATCTTTCAGCAGATGCAACAGATCACACTCCAAGTAAGACATACCACTTACACACCTATTATCAGGGTACAGGTTTCTTACTTCCCCTACCTTCTCCAGCATTTGAAATTGCAAAAAAGATCTCCAAGACATATTATTGAAAATTAAAAGCAAACTGCAGAATAATGCACGAAGTGCAATAAGATTCAGGTAAATGAAATCTACATGACTAAGACCTGTCATGTAAAGGTACAAGATCCCAATGATGAATGTGACTGTGCTGTATACTTAAAAAGTACCAATAAACTCAATAAGATTAAAAAAAAAAAGACACCTACCAATACTTCAATGTATGTAAGCTCATTGCAAAGGATCAAGAAAGATACTCATTAAATTGGGTGACTTTGTGTACTTTTGAAGAAGACTGGGTTTGGAGGAATGGCGAAGAATAATCTTAGCATTGTTTTAGGAACTACTCAACTGTCTATAAAAAATACTAATATAATGTTTATTTTAAAGACTGAGGCATTCCAGTAGTACACATAGAGGTATAGCTAATTACACAGACCTGAACTCATTAGTGCTTCTTTTTCCACTAAACAAATCTCTATCATATGTTCAACCTAACCTCAGGACTGTTAAGGGTCAAATCCACAGGAAAATATAATTAAGGAAAGCGGTATGGAATTGAGATGCTCATAATACATATGTATAATCTCCAAATGTAAATATTGGAGAGTAACATTCTCTCCCAGGGAGCTGGAACAGTCCTCAAAATTATCCTCATCCCAGAACTACAGACATTAATACTCTATTGCAATGAATAGATTCCATTCTATTGCTTGCATCAAACAGAATAGTACATTGCAACTAAGAACAGGAAATGATTTTCCTCCCAAGATATTTTTCTTTCCAAGTTAATGCCACAACTACTGCAATATTTGCTTTCAAAACTAGTCATTGTAGAAATATAAAACTAATAAGATACAATTTATAGTCTTCCCTTAGAGTTTAATGAGCAAAAAGGCAAATTTCCAAGTAGAAATCAGAATAAGAATCCACATGGTAGCACTTACTGCTTCCATTTTACAAATAAAGATACAAAAACTCCGTGTGGGTAACCGACTTCCCCAAGGACACACAGTAGCAAGCAAGGACATCTGTGCCTCAAAATGGCAGGAGCAAAATACAGTTTTCCCCATTTGCTATGCACTCGCAAGCTCTATCTTTAAATACGACACAGCGGGCTATTTTAACTGTCTTCCTTCATTTTCTTCTAGAACATTCACTCACTGTTAATTGAGCACTTATTATAATTTTACTTTCTGGCCTCGGCACCAAGCAGGACTTCGGGGTTCTGAGACTGTCTGAAGACACTGCGCTCTAACGCCTCTCTTGTGGATGGAGAACGTGGGGAGGCAAATTCCACTCCATGCAGCTACTAAAGAGTCTTTCTAAGTCCCGATGCCTTCAGGGGTTGGAAAAGGAGGCATTTGACAACCACTAAACTACGGTCTTACCCCAGACGGTCTCTCGCCTTCCACCAGTGAGGATCGTACTTCTCCAGCACCAGGTACTCCTCTGATCTCTTCAGGGCTAAATCACAGGCTTCCCGGGGCTGAAAGTCATACAGCGCCTTGACGTGGATCCTCTCCTCCGCGAGCTCAGAGGCCGGCAAGGGTGGCAGGGGCTTGCGCTTAGACGGCTGTGCAAGGCCCCTGCTGGACTAGAAAATGCAAGAGGCAAGATGTTTCACTGTCCTCTTAGTTGTTTGCACTCAGACAGAGCAGAAACGTGGCTGATTTGCTGGCTTCTTCGCTTCTCCTGTCCAGCTACCCAAACAGAAGCCTTTGGAACCAGCACCACACTCACACTTTTGTAAACTTCTGACCTCATGAGTATTTTCACCAGGATCTTGTTAGATTTTACCTGTTATAACTCTTAAAAGATGATTATTCTTAATCTGCAATAATACAGAAGATCCTAATAAGATTACTGACATTGAGAAATGGGAAGAAAGGAGCTAAAGGTGTAGGGAAGGTGGGATGGGTAGGGGAAGGGCAATAAGGGAAAAGAAAAAAATGTGAGACAATGAAAAGATGGAAATAAAGTGTTTGTAGATGGGGAGGGGAGGAGGGGTGAAGGGAGGGCAGGGACAAGGGGAAAAAATGAGAACCAAGACTTGTCATGTAGAAGTACAAGATCCCAACAATGAATGTAACTGTACTGTATCCCTAAAATGTACCAATAAACTCAATCAAAGCTGGAAAAAAAAATGATTATTCTTCAACAGTTTCATGTTAAAGATTCTTGTTTTTTGTAAAAGAAAATGGCCCTTCCCTTTCCTGTGCTGTAATTTTGGGTTTGGATTTACCTCACTGTTCCTCCCAACATGAAACATTAATCTTCACCTCAAAATGGTGGAAAGCAGAATACGGTTTATCTTTTGCTGTCCACTTTCCAGCTCTGTCTTTAAATACAGCACAATAGGTGGTTTTAACTATCTCCTTTCTTTCACTTTCTTCTAGAACATTCATTTACAGTTAATTGAGCACTTACTGTGTGCCAAGCATGATTCTAAGATCTGGGCTTGGCATTAAGCAGAATTTCATGGGAGCATAGACTTCCCTTTGAGAATGATACTCACTTGTTTCTTACTTGACAGTTGGCTGAACCATCGCCTTCGACACTGGGTATATTTTTCTGAAGGTTCTTCATCTTGGCTCAGGCTTATCTGTGTTCTAACTTGTCTGACATTGAAAAGCAAACATATTACAAATGATTCTTCATAGAAATAAGGTCCATGAATCCATTTAGATTAACACAAAAATAGTAGACACATCTGAAATACTCAGACCCCACCCTCTCTCCTTGGGTAAATGCCAACTCTCAGAAGTTCAATCTCTTTGTCTGAGAACTAGAGATGCTGTGAAATACAACTGAGTTTTATGTTATGAGATAAGACTGAGTGAACATGTCAACGACCATACACAGCCTGATGTGTTTTAGGGGCACAAAAGCACAGTCATGCTCATGACCATGAGTGGGTTAGCCTGAGTGAGGCACCCTGCTTATTGTTTTATGTGCACTATCTCATTTAATAACATCTATTCTGCCAATGGTGAATGTGACTTACTGTATACTTAAAAAGTACCAATAAACTCAATAATGAAGAAAAAGAATTGGCACAAGCTTCTGTTGCACTAAATGTCATGTGAAAGCGATGAAAAAATAAAGTTCAGCTAAAATCACCTCAGAAAAAAAAATATATATGTATATATTCTGATACATAGCACGGTGTAGTGATGAAGTACATGACTTTCAATCCCAACACACTGGTGCATGTGGCCTGGGTAAACAAGGTAACCTCTCTAGGCTTCAACCTCCGCATCTAAAGTAAAAACTGTAAAAAGAATTGTTGTGTAAATGAATAAAAGTGAACTTCTCAGCACAGCGTCTGATACACAGGACACTTACTGCCCATCAGTTGTTAGCAGCAATAAGGTGCCTTGGATTTGATTCTTACACTGTCATTTCCTGGGCACCAGAGGAGAAGGGGCTCTAATGTCGGGGGAGACACAGATAACAAAGACGGCATTCTCGCCCTTAAAGTGGGGAGAGTAGAGCATGGATGTGAGACAGATACGCAGTGTACACGAAACAAGTGTTAGAGAGCCACGCTGCAGGCCTGGGAACACGATGCACCAGAAGGAGGCACTGCACAGGGCAGATGGAGGCAGAATCGCCACCCACCTGACATTTGACCTACACCTTCACATGAACGGCTTGCAAGAGGGAGAAAATGGGAGAAGCAGAGAGAGCAGCAGGCACAGAGAAACATGACAACTCAATAACTAACAAAGACACTGCGAAAGAAATCATTCCCAAGGTTGCCCTACAAGGCAAACTTACCGCTTCTGTACTGAGCAGCAACAGCAGCAACAGAAAATGGACTGGAAGGTGTTATCTGAAAAGCAATCATCCTCACTGTTAGGAAGCCGCAAGTCCATGCCCTTGGAGAGATGGGGCTGAGGGACTGTGCCAAAAGCCGTGTCCAGGGGGTACATGAGCTGTCCTCGCCATGCCTGTCTTCGCTAGTAGAAGATGAAAAAGTGTCACTAAGGCCAAAAGCTAAGTAAGTTCCTGGCACCCTGGCCAGTGTGGTTTCCCCTCTCAGGCTCTTCTCCCCTGGTCTGGTTTACGCATTTCCTCGGTCTGTGAATGATAAATGACCAGTGTATTCTACCTCACCTTTCTCAGAGCTAGTGTTAGCTAACAAATGCACAGAACAGTAGCCTTTTTAAAAGCAGTGCTCTCCTAGGAAATCTGCTAGCAGTGATTTTGAATTAAGACCAACACCTTTCTTTAAAACTTTTAAAATTTTTTTTAAAAAATAGGCTCTTAGCTTTTTTATGGATTAAGTCCAAATGTAAACTGAATAAAGATAGAATCAACTAGCAAAACTGGACCTTGCTTATATTTTTATTATGAAGATTAGCCTTGACTTAAATGAGATGATTTGCCTTTGTAAAGATCATTGAAAAGTTCTGATTTTTTAAAGCATGGTTTATTTTCACAGATCCTGCATTTCCCAGCCAGCTCATGCTACTATTGACAACTGAAAAGAAGTCTTATAAGACAGAGGTTAGTCTCCAATGGTGTGATACCGAGTAAATTTCATAACTGTTCCATGCGTCAGTCTCCTCATCGGTCAAGTGGGAATAACAACGTGAAAAACTATTGTATGGATAACTGGACCAACTGTGTGAGGACCTAGAGCAACGCAGGACACATCAAGAGCTCATTGAGAAGAACTGTTGTAATAGGATTGTTCTGACAGTTAAACGAGGTGGCATCTTGAAAGCCCTTGGAACATGGAGGAAATGCTACCAGGAAGGATGCCAGCAAGAATCAGAAAGGAAACTCAAGTGGTAGCAAGCTGTGAACGTCTTATTTATAAAAGGAGGCAACTATAGAGATATAGGCAGAGAGTGACAAAGCTACAAAGTTTGTGCAGGAGCACAGAGCTGACCCCAGACCAAGAGTGACAAGGGACAGGAAGCCTAGAGCCTAGGAGGAGAGAAGATCTTCGGTGCCAGCCTCTGCAAAACAGCAGTTGCCACCCATCAAGGGACACCGCCCAAGTCGCCTTCCTGGGGAAGAAATCAGGAGGGTAGATCTCCTTACCTCCTGGCCCTCCCTCCCGCTCTGCCTGGGTTCCCCATGGGCTGGACCTAATCAGAGGCCAGATTCCTGTACACGAAGGAGCAAAGAGCGGGCTGGAGAAGCATGGAGCATGGATCTGGGAGAAGAGGGGTGAAGGAGGCAGCCGGCATAGTCCACCTCTCACCATCAACTCTTGTCTTCCATTTGAGCAAGAAGTTTGTGTTTCCAGAAGAAGGGACGAACAAATTTCCTAGGTTATCACAAGGTGATGTCGTTTAGTCAAACTCCTATCTGAAACTACTATCCATTTTCCACTCTGAGGATTTTGCAAGGGACAAAGGAAATAAGAAAAAAGAATAGCATAAAATAGCCACAGGCCAGGGATTTAGCACAGTGGTTCTGCCGCTTGCCTCACAAGCACAAGGACCTGAGTTCAATCCCTGGTACCAAAAAAATTTTTTAAATTAAAAAAAAATAAAACAGCCACTACAATTCCCTGTTACCTCTGTAGCCACCCTGAATCTTAAATTGAAAGTAACAGACACTCCCAGTATGCATTCTATGTTCCCCTTTGCCTCTGTCAAGACCTTGGCTGAAGAGGTGCTTTATCTGGTAAAATGGCCCAAATATTCATTATCATGGGATGTGGGTTCTCATATGGCCTTGTATTCCATTGACCTACTATTGTAAGGGATATATTTTTTATCTCTCTCATTGAGTTTATTGGTACATTTTAGTTATGCAGTACAGTTACATTCATCATTGGGATCTTGTACCTTTACATGACAGGTCTTGATTCTCATTTTTTCCCCTTATCCCTGCCCTCCCTTCATCCCCTCCTACCCTCCCCATTTACAATCACTTTATTTCCATTTTCTCATACTCTTTTCTTTTCCCTTATTACCTTTCCCCTACCCTTCCCACTTTCCCTGCACCTTTAGCCCCTTTCTTCCTATTTCACATTGTCAATTATATCATTAGGATCTTATGTCCTATTATATTTTTTCACACCAAACTATTCGGCATTTACACGTGTGTGACTTATTATTGTTAGGAATGTTAAGGAAACTAAGTCAGTGTCCTTTTCATCCCCAATTCCGGCTCAAGTACCATCTCAATTGGCCATCAGGATAATCACCCAGCTACAGTGACTCGCTTCAGTGCCTGTTAGTTCCATAGGACAAAGAATCCCTCAATGGCCAGAGGAGAGTTTCAATTTCCAATACAGTGCTCCCTACTGAAAGGGATTCTTCTTTCAGAAAATAGAGTCCTCAGCCCACCAGACCCAAGGTCACAGGGAGTTATTAGATCCAATGGTGAAAGCCCCCCATCACCGGTCTCTAATCTCTTGGAATCTGTCTCTGGGCTGCTGGTTATTGCACCCTCTGAGACACCACCCAAACACTGCAAGATGGTCTTCAGATGGCAGAATAATTGAAGTCCTCACAGCCCATGGTTTTTGCACTATCAAGCCAGATGCTACTGAGTTATGGAGCACATGGTAAGGTAGACCAGGCAAACACTAATGGGACTTAGATTAACTTCACCAAATGGTTCATCTTGGTTATATTTTCCCATTCTCCCTCAATTCTAAGAGTTTCAGCCATATATCTCTCCCCCCACACATCTTGTCACCAATCTCTCAATCCAAGTTCCTGATTAGAGGGCTAACTTGTTTGCTCAAGAGTCAATATTCAATCAGTGCTGCTGACCTTGTCCCTAATGAAGTGAACATATCCTTGCTGAAGTCCTTACAGGACTTTATTTCAACACGCTGTGTGCCTCTGATTTAAAGATTGCCATGCTAATTCTTCTGCCTCTGAATGAGATGGTAGAACAATGGTGTTTATTTCTTATTGGTACAGGATCAGAGCACAGATCTGTCTGAAAATCAGGCCTGAGCTTTTTCCTCCTTCACTAGCCGATGAGACCATTGATGTGTGTCAAAGGAAAGCCTGAAAGCAGGTAATTTGTTAATATAAGTCTCCTAATCATGAAGCTATCTTCATCTGCTGGATCCCAGTTCCATATTATGATAGCTCACTTCTGCATGCCCACTTTCATAGTTCATTGCTTCAGGTAACACTAAGCTCATGACAGGAAGTTTAGATGGCATAAATATTTCATCCATGGTTAAGCATTCAGTCTTCACCAGTAACAAGCCAGGAGCTACTTTACAAATTGAAAAATCATTGTGAGTCAAGAAATTATTCCACATTCCTGGGGATGTGTGCTGTAATTTGCATGCTTGAACTTTCCAGAACTTCCAAACAAACAGCATCTCGCCCTCCTATTGTGTTCTTTCCCAGCTCACTACCAGTTATAATTTGAGTCATTACAATTGAGTTATTTCTCCTAGGAAAGAGGTTATCCCTGGACCTCTAAATATATGACCAAATAAACCTCAGATCTAACTTGAACATGTTTTCTTGGGCCACTTCTGATATCAATCACCTTGTAGGTGATGGTTCTGATAGGAAACATGAATTAAATTAGAACCATTTAAAGAGGGCTATTTATAAAGGCATGAACTACAAGCTGTGGATAGGGATAAGAGGTCTGCAAAGGGTTTGCAGGAGCACAGGTCCCACCACAGTGAAACTGTCACCAATGATAGGTCCAACAGGACAAGAGGGAAAGAATCAAGTTGGATAGAGATGACTTTGGGAGGAGCCATGATCTGAACTGAGGGAAAGATACAGCCAGCTCAATGTGGCTTTACTACAATTTCCTCCAGTGGTTCTCCATGAGTGTGGTCTGACCAGAGGCTTTGGATGCATGGTAAACTAACCCTTACATGTGTTTCTTTGCCAGGATAAAATGTAGGTAGAGAAGAATGAATACCAAGAGCTAAGGATCTCTGCGCCCCATGTAGACTGGCTGCTACATTTAATCCTTCTTTCATCTTTCAGTAAAAGAGAATAGAAAAGAGTAAAGATAGCTAGAACAGTAATCAACACATACCAGTTCCTTTCCTTCCAAACCTACATGCATACACTGGCCTCCCTCCGATTTAGCCATTTCTATGCTAATTCTTCTAGCCACTGGTATTGGAGGGCCAATGACAAACTTCTCATCTGGATATACAGTTCAACAGCGGGCAAGTTCCCTATGCTGTTTCATCCCTCATCCTGATTTAATAACTTTCTCTTGCTTTCCTGCACTCAGAAACCACTCATTTCCTAAGGCTTATTTCTGGAAATAAAAATGCAATGCTTCACTGATTCCTAAAAATCTGTGCTATATCATGTTATTCAGTTTTTGAATTTCAGCTGCTTCTGACTGTCAGTTTTCATCTACTATGCCTGAATGAGTAAATTGAAAACAATACATTTCTCAGAGAGAGGGTATATTAGCACTTGAGGTCTTGTCTCCCTTCACAGGAGGGGGTCCAATTTATATTCGGACCAATTTGTTCTACAGGTGTTTCAGAGATCCATTAGCTCTGTATCCATCTAGGCCAGGAGATGCAAAATTAAATGAAGGTTACATACATGAGTACGGCAGGTCCAAATGTAGACTGTGGCAAAGTGCTATGCCCCAGCCGGCTGGGAGGCATTCAAACTTTGCAATACGCCCTCCCTCTCCTATGTCACCATGTGCCTTCTCTACTGGCTCACTCCCCATCAGCACACAAATACCCCGTTACTTCTGCCATTAAGACAAAGCAGAACAAACTACTCGATAATCTTATTTCCTCTGTTTCGTTGCCTGTTATAAAATCAAGAAATGTGCAGTCTATGCTTGCTACCTTCGGCTTCTTTCCTTCCATTGTCTCTTAACCCATGACAGCTAAGATGT